TTATTTTAACTAGGAGAGCCATTAATCAGACAATTAGAAGTATCTTATTGTATATTAAAGTTTCTCAGAATTTGTCATAGGGCAAAAGGATACGCTAGATTGAGTAGAGAAAATAGGAGATTTATTATAAGGCCCTTGTGATGTCTAACTTAGCTATCTACCTTTTTTTTTTTTGCTTAAAATGTTTTTCTGTGTACTATAAATTCTGACTCCCTAGTGACTGTTTAGTTTGTAATAACTAACTAGCTTTTGTTATTTCTTTGCCTGTCTAGTTGATATATATTCCTATTCAAGGTAAAGGAGGGGCTATTCCTATGTTGCAGGGGGCTTTTAAGGGTACTTCTTTTTAAGTTTCTCTAGGTGTTCTTTTATAGACATGTTTTGTACTTTGATTCTCTCTAAGAAAGCAGTGAGATCATCTCCTGATTTCCTAGAGTATTCTATCTTATCTTGGGTGTTTTTCTAATGATCTGTTATTGATTAAGCTTGAATTCTCAGATTGTTCTGGTTGTTTCTTTGTACCTATATTCCCTGACATTCTAGTATGATATTATTATTCTGTTCATTGAGCCGGGAAAGGTCTAGGCACACTATCTGAATCACTGCCAGGGTATTCATAATGATTAAAGCAGAAAAGGTCATGATCCCCAAAGCAAGCACAATCACAATAGGTATTGCAGGGCCTTCCATGCCACGTCCACCAGGTTGGAAACTGCTTCCTTGAAGTCTTACACCCCCTCTCAGGACCTTGTCACGGAGAGAGGGATCCAACAGTGGACGCGGCAGTGGACGTGGCAGACAGGGAAGGGGCGTGCACCCTGCCTGGGGCAATGCACACAGTCTCAGCTCTTTGTCTTCCTTCTGACTAAAGCTGGTTCCCAGCACATCAGCGCCACAGATGGAGTCTGCCAGCCAGACCTGTGGCGGCTGTAAACCCAACGCCCGGCTGGTCAGTGCCGCATGGCTCTCCCGCTAACCATCTCCCCACGGTGCCAAACGCAGGTCCCCAGGCTAGAGCGAAAGGTCCTCTGTCATTAAAATGACGGCAAGGAGACATTGGGGAGAGCGCAGGGTGGGGCTGCTGTCTTGCTGTCCAGCTGCTAACCCCCCAAGTCTTTGACACCGATACTTCCCACACTCAGTCACAGCCCCTCTCTGGTTGCCAGGTGCTGCGCTGGTTCACTGTCCCAACTCCCAGAACCTCAGAATATGACTGTGCGTGGGGAAACGTGGCTCTGTAGAGGGGACTGAAAGACGTCGTTAGGGTGGGCCCTGACCCCAGAGGACTGGTGTCCTCATAAGAGCAGGGAGATTTGGGTGTGAACGCCACCAGAGGAAGGTGATGTGAAGCTTCGGGAAGAAAACAGCCACATGCCCCAACCAAGGAGCGGCCTGGTACAGATCCCCCAGCACGGCCCTTGGAAGGGACCAAGCCTGCTGACACCTTGACCTTGGACTTTCAGACTCCGGAACCATGAGAAAATAAATGCTCATTCTTCTTTAGTTCTTAAATTTATATCCAGTAGAGAAAGAGAGAGATAGAAGCAGATGCAGTGGTTCCCAGGTCTAACCAGCCTGCTTCTGCTGTTTTAGATTTTTCCAGACAGGCATCACGCCTCAGTCGGTGGTCCCCCAAACAACAATGGGGGTGCACATGGTGCTGTGTGAGTGTCCTGGTGAAGGCCCTCGCTATGGTCTGAATGGCCGTGCCCCCACAGAATTCCTAGGTTGACATCCAGCCCCCGAAGATGGCTGTGTCGGGGTGGGCTTTTGGGAGGCACTGATGTCGTTAAGAGTGGGGCCTCATGAGTGGGATTCGTGTCCTTGAAACTGAGGCTCCCGAGGGCTCCCTAGCCCCGTCCCCACATGAGGACACAAGGAGAAGTCGCCCGCCACAAACCAGGAACAGGGCGTTCCCCAGAAAGGGGCTATCTGTTGCAATTCTGTCGAAGAATTCTGTCCACGTCATCCGTCAGGGGGGCTTGCCGCTCTACCCAGGCCGGTTTGGGTACAGAGAGACGGATGGGACTGTGACGCGGCTTGTTGCCTGCTTGGACCTCAGGGAAGATCAGTGAGGAACTCACGGCAAATCCTCAGTGTAAAGGGCAAGGTTTTCGTAACCCTTGAGCTGGCCACCACTCTCTGCCCTGGAGGCCTCAGGATGAGCGGCAGCCAGGAGCTGGGCAGGAGTGAGCTTTGAGCTAGCGGCTGAGCCCAGCCTGTCCCCCACGCGGATGGACATCACCCCCCACTCCTCCACACTCTCAGGCAGTGATGCCCCTCAAAGATCTGAAGGTCATTTCCATCTCTCCTTACGCACTCCTTCCCGTGGGAGAAAATGGTGCAGGGATCGTATGTGGCCCTTCATGAGACTCAAATCTCCCTCAATCGGACCCGTGTGCGCAGGGCAGGGGAGGCCAACGCTCTTTTAAGATGCTCTGTGAGGACCACGATGCAGGCAGTTTTGAGAACTCTCGCTTGGCCACATTCACACATTTCGGGATCGGCGACCGGTGTGCGGCCCCTTTGGAATACTACCGTAGGATGGCTCAGGTTTTTGCTGCACTCGCTGGGGCCAACCCTTATTCCAAGCACTTCATGGACGTGAATTTGCTTACTCCTCCTGACACCCATGGGATTTAGGAACAGCCATTGCCCTCAGTCTACAGGTGGGAACACTGAGGAGAGTGAGCACCGGGTCGGGGTGGCGGGGTTGGGCGGGCAGTGCGGGTGAGGGAGCCTGGGTCCAGGCTGCCCAGCACAGAGGCGAGCGCCACCAGAGCCTGATATAGATCGGGGACGCACCAAGGATGCCGCCCTGTCCCCTTCACGTCAGCCCTCCCAGTGAGTAATTACTCCTGATTTGACCAACGAGGAAAGCGAGGTTGGTGGGGGGCAGTGTGACTTGCCCAAGGTCGCACGGTCAGACATGGCAGAACCTATCCAATTCCAAAGCCTCACTTCTGTCCAGAGCATCGTGGGGGCAGGCGCCGGGGACCAAAGGGCAGTGGCTGTGTACCCACAGTGGGGTCAGGTCACCGGTCCTGCTGCGACAGCGGAGCACACCCTGAGCCTGCAGCGTGGCTGCGTCATCCCGACTCAGGAAACACAGCCCCAAAGTGCAGGCTCTCGTAAAGGGAATCGTTTGGTTTTGTGTTCATGGGTCCAGAACTCAACACCACCCTTCCTTCATTATCTTGGTCAGGGGTCACTGCTGGGGCGCCTGTTGCCGCCACACCCCCCACTGCAGGGCCGGCAGTGAGCTATGGTGGAGCGGACCTTCTGTGGCGGGTGGGTGTGTCCATGCCAAGAAAGAATGGTCCACAGTGCAAATCCTGACTCGAAATCTGAGCTAACAACCTCTCTGGGCTTTAGTTTTCTCCTCTGTAAATGGGATAAGGATAGTACCCCGTGTGTGTGTGTGTGTGTGTGTGTGTGTGTGTGTGTGTGTGTGTGTGTGTGTGTAAAAGGAGAGGAGAGAGAAAGAGAGGGAGGGAGGGAGAGGCTCTTATCTGGCACATCAAGTTCCAGACTTGCCCTGGTGTTGATGCGTTTTTTTCCGGTGAACTTGGACATAACCTTTGTCCATGTAAGAATGTTCAAACCTGTATGTAATTTTTATAAAAAATGGGTCAGACAGGATCTGCCTGGAAGCGAGCTGTTAGCAGACTGAGATCAGTGCGGGAGAGCCAGGCGGGTCTGGATTCCAGGCGGGTTAACACGACTGTGCTCTGGAGTCAGGGGCCCGGCTACAAAGGGAGGGTCTGAGAAGACTCATTTCAGAGGCCCGTTGCCATGGATGCACATGTACAACAGACAGGCCTTGCTTAAGGCAAGACTGTCCTTTTACTAAAGAAGTTTCATGTCTGGGCCGTGACTAGCCAGCAGGACCTGCCTGGTCAGAAGTTTATGGTCAGATCGCCCTGTGAAATTACTGTCCGTGGAAACCTTTTTGTCGTCTACACCTTCCTGGACTTCCTGGAGCCCAACAGCAGAGCTGGGGTTGGGCTCCAGGCCGGCTGGGTCCAGGTCTGAGCTTGAACCTTCTCTATGCTCTGCCCAGTTCAGGGCCCCCGGCCCGGTCCTGCTCCTCACTGGTGCCCGCTTCACTGAAGTTAAGGCTCCAAGTACTTGAGACACATTCGGAAAAGTGGACTAAAGGAAGCTGGACCATCAAGGGCATCTCATTCACACCTCAGTGTGACACCAAGGGCCACGTCACTTCCTGTGGTCCTTCCCCAAATAGCTTGAGGTGCAGCTAGATGTCACCCACCCACCCAGCTGCCCCAGAATCATCCAAGGAAGCTGAGGCTCACAGATATTGGAGAGAGAACAGCTTCAGGTTCCGTAGTTCAGGGGGAAAGTGTGCAATTGGAAGTCTAGCCCAAGGAGGGGGCTGGTCCCATGCCACGCCGCCCTTGCCCCGGGATGCACTGACTTTGGAGGCCAGCACAGGATGTCCTAGCAGGCCCCGTCACAGAACACTACCATTTAAAGCTGGAAGGTTCTGGAAAACCAGAGGGTCCTGGACTGCAAGCAATACCCTGGGCAGGGTCCGGGCGCCAGGTGGGTCTTGTCCTTCTGCAGAGAGCTGAGTCTTTCTAGACTCATGTGCCCCATTTGCCCCCATGTCACCTGGGAAGCAGCTTTACTTTATGAAGATCCTGGAGTTTGCCAACCCTGGTCCGGTCCAACTCTTCACTTTGCAGGAAGGGAGGTAAAACTGGGGGGGAGGGGAGACAAAACCCAAGAGAGGGGACCAGGCCCACTAGGGGGTTCCCCTGAGCCGCAGGGAGGAGCAAGTACCTGGCAAACTTCAATGCATAACGGAGTCAAGAAGGGGTGAAGCCTCTTGGGGTCTCCAAGGACGGAACAGGGAGTTCCCTCTGGTGGAGGGAGGCCAGCTTCCAGTGTTTTCTCTCTGTGCCAGGGCTCCCCGCTGCCCTTACGGGTCTGTTTATTAATAATTACCTAATTGGGCAGGAGGTGGGCAGTGCAGACAGACATTTCTTCCATCTCCCTGGGCTTGACAAACCCAAGTCACATTCCTGGGCAACTTCTGGAGCGGAGATATCTGCTCCAGAATCGGAGGGGGACCACTCCAGGATCGACCGAGCCGATGTGAGTAACCCCGAGGGCCACTGTGGAGACTCCCGAGGGAGGAGTGGGGACACCAGACGTTCAGTGCCATGTTGACATGAGAACATCCAAGCCCGTAGAAAGATGTCATAAGAGTTTATTAGAACTTATTTGAGCCAAGCAGACATCTGGACGCAAGGTCTCAACAGATTGAGAAGAATGCTTCTGAGGATGACGGTGTGTAGCTTCGTTTATGCCAGGCTTCTTAAGGCAAAGACAAACCTTTCCTAAAGAGGTCATGTCCCCGGGACAGGGCCGCTCGCCACGACCTGCCCAGTGAGGGGTTCATGGCCAAACCCCCCTTACTTTTTGTCACTAGACTTGTCAGTTTTATCATAGCAGCTTTCTTTGCCCACAGATAAGCTGGGAAGGTCCTGGGAAAGCTGGAACAATTGGTCGCCCTTCCTTGTGGTGACAAATCCTAAGGGTAAAAGGACCCCTACACACATGCACCAACCTCCTCACTGCCCCGGTGGGGCAGCTAGTGCCCAGACCCCAAAACAGACCGTCCCCCACAAAGGCTGCTCACAGCCTGGGACCAGGTCTCCTGCCTCCCAATCCAGTTTCTGTGGAGAGTCCTGCAGAGGGGAATTCTGGGTAACCTTACTGTAAAGCTCCTGAGAAGTATGAGAGAGTTGGGGGCAGGGGAGAGGTCACTGTGGACTGCTGGAGAGTCAAGGTGGGTGGTGGCGTACTGAGCTGTGAACAAAGGTGTGTGATGTGTGTTTCCCAATGGCTGCTTGGGAAGCAGGGCGTGGGGCCAGCGGGGGAGCTGCTCCGGGGGTCTGGGTTGCAGGTCTGCCAGCCGTGGCCCGTGGGTCAAGTCTGGCCTACCGCCTACTTTTGAAGTGCCCACCAGCTAAGAATAGAAGACAGACGATATAAATATAAAAGTTGTAAATGGCTGGAAAAACTCAGACAAAGGGCATTATTTTTTGATGTTCCAAAAGTGTATGGAATTCAGGCTTCAGGGCCCGTAAGTCCGTGCTCCTGCGATGCAGCCACAACCTCCCTTGCACGTCTTGTCTGTGGCCAGTTTCCAGCTGGCACTGCAGAGCCCAGGAGACGCAGCTGCGATGGTGTGGCCCACGCAGCCAAGGTGCGGGCTCTCTGGCCCCTTCCAGAAGAAGTTTCCTGATTTTTGCTCTGGGTGGAAGATGCCGGAGCCCTGAGTGAGGGTCGTGGCAGCGAAGGGCTGAGAGGAGAAAGGAAGAAGCTGTGCCGTGGACTGAGGTGGAGGGAATGGAGGCCAGGCAGCTGTCAGAGATGACGACTGGGTTTGGGGGCTGAGAGCCGGATAATAGGAAGGCCACCGGATGGGGCAGAGCAGATTTGGTGGCCAAAATCAAGCATCCTGTGTTGGACAGGTGGATCTCATTAGGAGAGGGAACCCTAAGACCTTGACCAGATCATTTATCTGACACCCGTGGTCTCATCATTGCGGGGGGCTAAGAATCCCAGGTCCTCTGACCTGCACCTGGGTAAGAGGATGGGCAAATTAGCATACATTAGCATGTCATGCAAATTAGCATGGCTTCGTAAACTGCAAAGCCCACTGTGGAGGTGTGTGGAGTAGACACTAAAATAACCTTTGGCAATTAGCTTCCTGGGTACAGTGAGTTGCTGGACCAAGGTAAAAAACTCACATGGTAGAAGGTGCCCCAGGTGGCGAGTCGGGAGACGTGTCCCATCTCAGATGTGAACCCATGGGGGAGGTGGCCATGTCCCTTGGGGAGCCTCTGTGATCAATGCCACGCAGAGCTCACAAAGATGGGAAGGAAATGGACGGTGGGCACAGAAAGCGTGCCAGAGGATAACACCACCACCACCACACACGTGGGGGGTGCTGGGCGTCTGTCGGTCTGTCCCAAGTCCGTCTGCAGGAGTCGGCGGGGCCCGGCCCCTGGCCTGACTTCTCAGCAGCGTTGGGTGTTCTGTGGGGGGAGCTTCCTGGATGCTCTCTTGTCCTCCTGTAGACCGGAGATCGCCGAGGATGCCCCTTGCCGACCACCTGCTCCTCGTCCTCGTCGGACTACTGGCCCTTTCTCACAATGGCCAGAGTCATACGGATGAGCACCAACAGAAGGATCCGGGCACAGGCGAGGGCTCCCCCAGCCTCCAGATCGCCCCGAGCAACACAGACTTTGCCCTCAGCTTCTACCACCTGGTAGCTTCCCAAAGCCCCAAGAGCAACATCTTCTTCTCCCCACTGAGCATCTCTGCCGCCTACGCCATGCTGTCCCTGGGGGCCCGTGCAGACACCTGGGCCCAGATCCTCGAGGGTCTGGGCTTCAACCTCACGGAGGTGTCGGAGTCTGACATCCACCAGGGCTTCCAGCACCTGCTGCGCACTCTCAACCTCCCGGACGACAAGCTGGAGACCCGCGTGGGCAGCGCCCTGTTCCTGGGCCAGGACCTACAGCCCCTTCCAAGATTCCTTAATGACACCACGGCCTTCTACGGGTCCAAAGTCTTTCACACCAACTTCCTTGACCCTGAGGGCACAACCCAGCTCATCAACGACCACGTCAGGGAGGAGACTCGAGGGAAGATCGAAAACGTGGTCAGCGGGCTCACCCCTGAGGACGTGCTGGTGATGGTGAATTACATTTACTTCAAAGGTAAGGCCCAGCGTACGGGCATGTCCTGTGTCTTCTCTCCCCCACTAATTTATTGATGAAGTGCATATTTTTAATAAAAGAAAGTAGATGGATTGGGTCTGATTGTCTCAAATACCCCTTGGAACATCTATTTGTTAGTGTCGGGTCTTTAAGATGGTGTAGTGTTGAGGTTCCCATCTCTTCATAGCTTTACACATATTTTCTTATTTATTCTCCGGATAACAGCCGTCTATGAAACGCCTCGTACGACTCGAGCTGCTACATTTACACTGAAGCTCTGCCACTTCCATCCGTGGAAACAGGGCAGGCTGTTTTCTTGAGGTCAGGATAGTAAGAGTTGCTGTTTTCAAAGCTTTGTTTTGAGGATCAAATGGTGTCCCATGTCTATACACATCTTAGACAAGGGCCTAAAGAGGTCAGTAAACTGCAGCCCCCAGGCCCATCTGATGGGTCACCGGTTTCTGTCAAAAAGCTTCGTTGGGGCCCTGGCTGGTGTAGCTCAGTGGATTGAGCACAAACCTGTGAACTAATGGATCATGGTTCAATTCCCAGTCAGGGCACATACCTGGGTTGCAGGCTAGTTCCCAACAGGGGACTCACGAGAGGCAACCATACATTGATATTTCTCTCCCTTTCTCCTTCCCTTCCCCTCTAAAGATAAATAAATAAAAATCTTTAAAAAAAAGCTTTGTTGGCACACAGCCACGCCCATGCATTTATGCATTGCCCCTGGCTGCTCTCTCTCTCTCTCTCTCTCACACACACACACAGAGAAAGCAGTGGCTATAGAGACAGAAGGACCTACAAAGCCAAAAGTATTTACTTTCTGACCCTTTGCAAAGGATGTTTGCCTGACTCCTAACCACTATATACTTGCGTACTCAAAAAATAAGTAATTGTAATTACTCTAATGATAACAATGTTATCATTTTGAAAACCTTTAAAAATACATAAAAGTATAAAAAAAAGAAAGTAAAAATTGCCTACAATTCTATCACCCTGAGGCACCCAATGTTGCCGCTTTGGCATGATTCTTTCCAGTCTCTGGTCCGCACACATGTATTAACACAGTTGAAGTCTCAGTGTGGGGAGAGTTCCGCACCGTGCATGTCGGTCAGGGCGCCATCAGGGGGCCAAAGCCCCCAGGAGCGTAAAGGAGATGGAGGCAGGAATGAGACCTGCCTGCCTGTGGGAGGGGCTGGGAACTGAAGGTCGGGAGGGAGAGGGAGGTGGAGGGAGGGACAGAGAAGAAGTCACCAGTGCAGGTGACAAGGAACAGCTTATCAAGAATCTAAGCCACCAGAGTGGTCCCATTTTGAGGGAGCTGGTGGGGAGACTCAGGCTGGGCACGAGGTGGTGGCTTGGGGACACCACTAGTCAGCAGAACTAGAGTTGGGACAACGAACTTGGAGGAGTGCATGAACGAGCTGGGGCGCGCAGGGCTGCTCGGGGTCTGACCCTTGCCCAGTCTGCCCGTGAAGACCGTCGGCGAGCGGTGGCTGCTCCTGGCAACTTCCTGTCTCTCACCTGCAATCAGCTCGCACCAGGATCTGCAGAGAACGAGTTCTGGGATGCGACTCCAGACTAACGAGCCAGCCACACTGGTTGTGCATTGTATATGAGGGATTTTCGTGTGCTGTTGAAAACTTTTTTTAAAAAAAGAACCTTTTAAATTCCACAATTGCCGTAAATTCACAGGAAGTTGCAAAAGTAGTACGGAGTGCTCCCAAGTACCTTTCACCCAGAGTCCCCTGGGGACACCTTGCGTAAGGGTAGGACAACAGCAAGACCAGGACATTGACATTGGTACAAGCTTCAGACTTCATTCAGTTTACTAGTTGTGTGCGTGCACTTGTGTGTGCGCATGGACATGCATGTGTGTTTGTGTGCTATGGTTTGATGCTCTGGAAAACTTTATTTAGAGCTCATGTTATTGGCTGCACAATCTTATACTGACTCTGTTCCTTTTAACACATAATTTAAACGTATTGTGTACACCACCACCCCGCCCAAGGCTGTGGGCAGAGCGAGGGAAGATTTCGGGCGCTCCCTTCCTGAAAGAGACTTAGTTCCAGCTGGGTCAGTGGCCTCGGCGTGAGAAAGAGGGGCTCTGCAGAAGGAGAAGGGGGCAGACAATGCTGCGCTCCGACTCCTGCCGGCACTCTGGGGGTGCGAGTGCAGCCCCGAGACCTCAAGGTGGGCCACTTCGAGAGCAAGGGGACAATTGTGGCTCACCTTCAAAAACGCAGAGTGCCTGGCAGAATCCAAGCCATAGCTGTGTGTGTCACTGTCTGTCAGGTGACACTGGGGGATTTAAAATTAGACTTAAAGAAAATCCAGGTGAGCTGTGTTCCTGAAAAGGGAGGTAAAGATGTCCCTTCTGCCCCCAATTAATCTAAATATTTAATGTAATCCCAATCCAAATCCTGACAGCGTTTTTTTTTTTTTTTCCCTCTTTGGTGGCGGTTAACAAGCTGATTTTAAAATGTGTACAGGAGCACAAAGGGCCGAGAATAGCTAAGATGGGAACAGTTGCCTGCCCGAGAGCAAGGTTTGTTTTTACTGTACATTCATTTAGACCATGTGGTGCAAATGCACCAGTGGAGCAGAGTGGAGCACGGCCAGAAACAGCCCCATGAATATGTATGGACAGCTGATATTTGTCAAGGCTGACATGGAGGAGCATTGGGGAAGGATGGATTTAAAAACGAAACATTGGTTCCGGGACAGTTAGGTACCCATATGGGGAAAACCACGGTCTGGGGTCCCTCCTTTCTGCCAATCATAAATGCTTACTCCAGGTGGAATAAATGCAAAAGGCAAGACTAAGTCTTCGAAAAGCCATTGTAGGGGAGCTCTGCACCAGCGTGGGGTGGGGCAGACCTTCCTAACCAAGAGTTTTCCTGATGGGAGACCTCACCCTGAAGGAAAAACACCGAAAGGCTCACTGCAGTCAGGGGTTTCAATTGCCAGCAAATGAGAGTGAAAAGACCAGTCGGCAAGGAGAGGCTGTGTGTGCAACACACGTGACTGATGTGCAGCTAGTGTCCAGGAAGAACCCCGCCAACCGCTAAGAAACAGCCCACGGACACACGGGTTTCAGACAAAATGCACTGGTGCTGAACTGAACACAAAGGATGTCTCGCTGGTTAGTAAACACGGGAAAGGTCACTCGGCCTCCTTCGCACCCAAGAAAGTGCGAGTCAAAACGACAGAGAGCTCGTGCTGTGCACACGTCAGGTGGGCCTAAAACAAGAAGCACAGCGATGTTAGGGGGTTGGTGAAGACGTGGAACCGCCTGCTGGTGTCCTGCGCTAGCTCCCCATTTCAACGCTCAGTGAGCCCGGGGTGCAGTCCATCCCCGAGCGCAGCAGGTGGTGAACCATCTAAACTGTGCACACTGAGGCCAAGGAGCTGGGAAGGTGAGGGTCTGGGGCCATTTGGGGGAGCTGCTCCCCAGGCTGGAGGGCTGGCTTGCTGGTCCACAGCCTGCCTGCTCCTTCTTTCCTTCTTCCCTCCAGGTCTGTGGGAAAAACCATTTAGCCACTCCAAGAACTACCCCCAAGATTTCTACGTGGATGAGAAGACAGTGGTCAAGGTGCCCATGATGTTTCAAGACAAGAACTACCACTGGTACATTCACGATAGGTACCTGCCCTGCTCGGTGCTCAGGATGGATTACCATGGCAACGCCAGGGCCCTTTTCATCCTCCCTGACAAAGGGAAAATGAAGCAGGTGGAAGAGGTTTTGACGCCAGAGATGCTAAGCAGGTGGAACAGCTTGCTCCAGAAGAGGTAACCGGCGCCACGTGGTGCTGAATGGGTGGTGCTGCCCTTCAACCGGACCCTTGCGATAAGAGCCAGGGTCCGAAACGGGGTGGGTGCCAAACTCTGAAAGAGTTCTTATCCGCTCCGAGACTTCCCATGGGTTTCCTTAAATCATAAACTCTCCTGTTGCATCCAAAATACGATTTTGCCCTCCTCACTGAAAGGGAAGCGGGCTAGGAGTTAAGCGTCCTGGTTTTCGAGATAGCGCTCGAATGCACAAGCCTTGGGTGAGGTGACCCCAGACCTTGTTGGGTCCACTCCTGTACAGCGGCTGGCTGGGGCATCAAGGGGCATGAGAAAAATCCAGCCTCCCACCCCAGCAAATACCAAGGAAGTTTCCCATCACCCCGGAGCTGGAGTGGGTGGGAGAGTCCCCCGCCACCTGTGAGGAAAGGACTCCTCCACCTGAGGCCACATGTGGGTGGGAAATCCTCCTATTTCCTGTGGCACAGGAATGTCGACTGAAGAAACCATCTGGTCGCAAAGGAGTGAAAACCACAGGGTCCGACAAAGGCAAAGGCGAGACTGCCACTGGGGGTGGGAGGTCCCAGGGACAGCAGTGTCCAGGGCAAAGGAGCCTGGACTCAGGCCACTGGGGGCACCATGCAAGGATGGAGTGAGCAGACTGGTGCTCATGGCAGTACTTGGGTGGAGTGGGCCCTCGGGTGGAGTGGGCCCCGCTGGGGAGGGCAGCTTGGCCTGGCTGCGATCCCAGCCTGGGTGTCAGTCTGGCGTTTGAACCTGATGCCTCTTTCAGGTCTTTTTACAGGAAGCTCGAGTTGTATTTCCCCAAGTTCTCCATTTCTGGCTCCTATGACTTAGATGAGATTCTGCCCCAGCTGGGCATCAGGGACCTGTTTTCGAGGGAGGCAAACCTCTCCGGCATCACCGCACAGCAGGACATGCTGGTGTCCAAGGTGAGTCCTCAGTGTCCCTCAGTGTTGGGGATTCCGGGGGAACTGCTGCCCCTCGGGAGCTGCTGGGCCATGGATGCTCACTCCCCCTGCCCCCGCATGGTCCCAGAGCCTGAGTCCGTTCAGTCACCCACAGGCATGCCCAAGCATGAACCAACCCGCCACATGCTACGGGTGGTGCTCAGTGCTGGGGACACAGTGTCCACCCAGTCCCTGTCCTCAGAAGCACTCCCAGTCGTGTTGGGGTGCCACTTCAGAGAGCATGGCAATGGAGAGTGACAGGTTCAATGCCAGAAATAGGAAGGGTACAGATGAGGCTGGGCTCAGTATGCGTATCGGACAGACTTAGACCAGAGAAAGGGGCCGATGACTTCAGCTAAGTGAGACGAAAGTGCGCTGGTGAGCGGAGCCCTGGGTTTGATGGTTTGACGGTTTGAACTTCAGTTCTGCCTCTTGTGACATCAGTGAGCTACCTCGTCTCTGAATGTGTTTTCCTCTTAGGGTGGTTTTGAACATTAGAAAGAGCCCTGGGGACATAGTAAGTGCTCAGTTAATGACAGTTTTCATGACTGTATTAATAAGAGGTCACTCAGCTCAACAAGCTGCCCGGTGCAGAAACTGCTGGGGGGAGACCCCCATGCAGCTGTGTGTGCAAGGACCGCAGGATTGCTCTTCGGGGCCTCGGGTCCCCAGTCTTCCCTCAGCCCCCGCCCACACTCTCTCAGAGGTGATGCTCATGATTTGCCTTACAGAGTTTCCACAAGGCTTTCCTGGAAGTGGATGAAGCTGGCACCCAGGCTGCAGCTGCCACCAGACTCTCCACCACCTTCCTCTCCGTCCCCCACAATCGCTACATCCTTCGGTTCAACCGGCCCTTCTTTGTGGTGATCTTGTCCACCAATACCCAGAGCATCCTCTTTCTGGGCAAGGTGGTCAACCCCATGGAATCATAGCCCGCCCAGAGCTGCTGGTGCAGGAGCTGTGTGGCTGGGCACAGCTCCACATCTGGGCTGGGGGTGCAGAAGTTGCCAAGAGACCAGGCAGAAGCTGTTGGTGACGGGAGGGATGGGGGCGGTTGGTACCAGCTGAGTGTGGACTGGACACTTGGCTCCCCAGGGCTGTGCAATGTTGGGCCCATCATGTGATCTCTCTGAGCGAGTTTCCACCCTGGAGAGCAGGAGATGCCCTCCCAGGGTGGTCGTGTGAATTAAACTGATGGCTGTGAGAAGCCCGGTTCTGCGCCTCATCTGTAGTAAACGCTCAGTGAATGTGTGCCTTTCCCCGCCCTCGGGGGCTGGTCCCGCACTCCCCCCGCATCCCTGGTTGCAGACACAGGGGTGAGGTGCTGTGAGTTCCAGGGGGGAGGGGGTGAGCTGTCTGTGGAAGGAGGAGGCGGGGTTGGGTGCCTTGCTCCAAAGTGGGGCCCAGAAGGCCCGGCAGGGAGAACACCAACCGAGAGGCTGCTGCAGCGACCTGGTTGGGAAGGGGACCCCGGCCTGTGGCTGCGGAGCGGTGGCCAGTCTCTCTCTCCCGGAGCAGGTGACTGTGGTCCCGGGTTGCGCCACAGGAGGAAGAGTGCGGCATCCGGATCTGGAGGCCTGTTTTCTCATCCTCTTCTGCCACCCATGAGCTCTGGGGCCTCGGGCAAATCCCTTTCCCTTTCGGGCCTCAGTTTCCCCATCTGAATCCCTCCCACAGGAGAAGGCGGGCCGAGAGCGCCTGGCCAGACCTCAGTCATTTCTGGCAAACAGATTTCTCGGGTCAGAGCCCCATGGGTCATCCCGATGGCCAGCGTGTCGGAGATAGGAGGTCTCAACGTCACTTACCCGGAGTTTTCACGATGACTAGAGAGAACATGCCAGGGCCGCCTCTGGCACTGATGATTGTTCAAGCCACAATTTCCAGGGATGGCGTGGCCTGCTCTCTGGCCCAGATAATGCCACGCCTTTCGGAACAGGCTCGTTGTGGGAATCCAGTATCCACAGCAAGAGACGGACCACTTTTTTATGGCGTAAAGTGGGGAGAAGAAGGGGAAGACTCTGGTTCTCATCTTCCCTGCCTCTGAAACACAGCTTTGAGCCAGACAGGACAGCTTCCAGAGATGCTGACACAGGAACGTCCCCCAGTGAGGCCATGGCAGAACAGGACCGTCTCCATACCAGCTCCGGGCTGGGCTACGTGGACCAAGCCCAGGAAATGCTTCCAGACCCCCGGCCCTCCATGGCTCAAAGGACCGCATGCCCTTCTCCCCTCCCTCCGGGTTTATTGGCTGAAAAGCAAGAGTGCTACTGAGAATCTCGGTCCGTTTCTTTGTGTACCCGCTGGAAAATCGGATTTTGTTCTTTAACAACCAGGCAAGAAATAAAGCCAGGCTTACTTCTTCCCAACTTTGCCCTACAGAGGCAGGTGGGTGGGTGGATTCAAGAGTCTCAGAAGAGCCAGAAAGAAGCCATAGGCCTAGGGTTACTATGGCAATGTCGCTGCTGGGGTGAAGGAGGGGAGAAAATGGGGGAACGGCCACCCTATGTTCAGCCTCGAGAGCGCTGCCTGCCAACCCTGACTGGGCTTATTCCTCCCCTGTTCAGAAGCACCCAAGGCTCCGGGCTGCCTACAAGCTGAGGTTCAGGGTCTTCTCTTGGAAGTCACAGCCTCCCCAATCTGCTCCCTGCCCGCTTCTCCTGCCTCCTGTACCCAGCAACGTTGGTCACAGAAAGTCCTGCTGCTGTCCCAGGGTGCTCGTAGCTTCTGAGCTCCTGGCCTTTGCTCTTGTAGGTCCCTATCTCCCAGAATGCTCTTCCCCACCTCTGAGAATCTGCATTCCGCCAGGACCTCCCATCAATGCCTTACCTCTTCTCTAAGGCAAACGGTCATCCTACACCCTAGAATCAAACATGGCTGGCTGACATTCATCTCGGCCCCGATTAGAGAGAACACCTTGAAGACAGGCCCTGGTTCACCCAGTACCTGGCCCCAGGGTCTGAAGGGGCTGAGGCCCAACGAGTATTTGGTGAATGAATGAATGAATGAATGAATGAGCGAGTGAGCGAGAGGGAAAGGCTGCATGCTGAGCAAGGTGCCTGAGTTGTTTGCTCTGCGTTGCCCCCGACAGGCCCCTGGAATCGATCAGGTAAATATTTAGTCCTGCTTCTCAGATTTCAAAATGCCCTTTTGGAACATCAGAAAAATAAATACATGAAAAGACTTTGCGTGGGACACCTTGTCCACTGAGAGCCGGCCCTGGGCCCCCTTCCCTTCCCGTCACTGCTGTCCCACAGGGTCCCTTAGGTGTGGGGCCCTGGCGATGCCACTTGGAGGCACGCTTCTTCAGGACTGGCGATTAGTGTTCAGAGGGGCCGTGTGTTTGTGACTTTGGAAGTTCTTAGCCAGTAGGAAGACACAGTCTTCCTGCCATTGGAGTGGGAGGAAGAGGGGGCAGTGTGAGAGCCGTGAGCGTCTGTGGCGTGGCCTGGGGACCCCCAGATGCCCAGGGAGGGGACAGACCCCACATGGCCCTCATCAGTGGGTGGTGGAGGTGCATCATGGGTTCACTCGGTTATTCACTCTCTCATTCAACCAATGTTTACTAGTGGGGTTGGCCACTCACCGGGAAGCTAGAGGGGCCGCCCCACTGGAGGGGAAGCACTTGGGTTTCGGAGGGAGGCGGGGAGGGCTGTGGCCCCTGCATCTCCACTGCCCCTGTGCTGGGGGGCAGGTGCTTGATGTCCTGGGATCTCACGTTCCCCCCAGAAGTGGGCACAGGGCCCCGCAGCCACTAACACGGGTCCTGTTAGGGTGGTCGGTGCTGTGGGCTGTGGAGGAATTCACAAAGAGGAGAGAGCGTAGAGAGTCAAGCTTTTATTCACTCTCCAAGAGAGGAGAGGGGCATGGTGTAGAGAGAGACACCAGCACCGGGGAGTGGGGGCTTTGAGCTTTCAGTGGATTATAATTGGATTAACAAAGGTGGGGGTGCTGTGGCGTGGCCCCTGGGCTGTTGGGGTGTTGTAATACGAGCCTGCAGTTTGTTCAGACGTTATTTTCTGCCTGTGGCTAAAGGGAGCAGGTAGTTCTGTTCTTGCTCCCAGCAACTTCCAGGCCTGGGGACAAGCTCAGAGGAGTAAAATGGCCGTCATGTTCAAGAAGGTCACAGGCCTGCTCGGCAAACGGTGCCACATAGCAAGCACATGGGGCTGGCTTTGTCCTTTCAGGTCCCCTGGAGTCACAGACCTGGCTCTGACCAACCGTGGCGGACGAAGGTCAGGAAGCAGCCCGGTCCACTGCTGGCTGCCCAGGAAGGCCGGGCGCCTTCTCGGAGAACAGGCACATGTAGGCAGATGAAGAGGTGCCATGTTCTGAGCCCCTGCAGTGAGCACAGCTCGGTGACAAGTGTTCTCAGAGTCATCAAGAGACCACAGAGAACTAGGGATAGACCCTGGGTTTTGGAGCCAGAATGCTCAAGTTTGAATCTGAATCCCTCCAATTACTGGGTATGTTAGTTCGTGAGGGTTGTTGTGAAAAGGACCACAAACCCAGTGATCTAACAAACAATGTATTGTCTTGCAGTCCTGGAGGCCAGAAGTCCAAGGCCAAGGCATCGGCAGGGCTGTCCCTTCTGAGGGGGAGGGAAAATCTGCTCCGGGCCGCTCCCCGAGCTCCTGGTGGTTCACTGGCATCTTTGGCTTCCGTGGCTCATGGGTGTCTGCCTTCATCTCACGTGGCATTCTCCTGAGTGCGTGTCTCTGTCCACATGTCCCCTTTTTATAAGAACATCGGTCCTATTGGATCAGGGCCCACCCTACTGCAGGATGACCTCATTTTAACTGATTCTGTCTGCAGTCACCCCATTTCCAAATGGGTGACTTCGAAGTCTTGGGGTTAAGACTTCAATTTGGGGTGACAGCAGTTTCCTCACCCGTGAAGTGGAGATGGCAGTACCTATGCACAACCTGCTGGGGGCGGTGCTCTTTGTTAACCTTGATGTTGATGGAAAAATGAACCTACCTTGTCTATTTAGTTCCCACATTCTGACCCCTGGCCTATTCCCCCCTTTCACCCCAGTTGTTATAGACTGAATTATGTTCCCCCAAATTCGCATGTTGAAGCCTGAACCCCACAACATGACTGTGTTTGGTGACAGGGACTTTAGGGAAATAAACAAAGTTAAATGAGATTGTACGGGCGGGGCCCTAGTCCTGCAGAATGGGTGTCCTTATGAGGAGGACAGACACCAGAGCTTGTTTCCTCTTCATCTCCTGCTCTCCATGACCCCACCCCCACACAGAGAGGCCACATGAGAACACAGCACCAAGTTCCACCTGCAGCCGGGAAGGACAGGTCTCACCAGAAACCCGTCCTGACTTCACCTCCGTCTTGGACTTGTGGCCTCCGACACTGAGAAATGCATTCCTCTGGTGAGGCCTGCAGGACTGAGTGAGGAAGGATGTGTCACTGGTGCAGCCCAGCCGCTCGGCTTCCGACGTCAGGTGGGCTGTGGCTGGAGGAGCTGGCTGCATGGTTGTTTTCACTTGCCTGGGAATTCAACTTGTAAGCTTTCCAGTCCTGTGTCTTTTCCTGGGTCTGCGTCAAATGTCCAGGCAACCCTCTGGGGGCCCCTGAGGGGCTATGAGAAGAAAGTTCCCAGTCTGGACCGCTGGGGCTCAGGGGCCAGGCCACAGGGCCCCTCAGGGCGGTCTGGGGGCTGACTATGTGGGACACACTCTTCTCAAGGATGGGCTTTTTGCTGCAGAAACTCTCAGCTTCTGTTTCTTCTTCAGAACACTCTGGCATTGCCTGGCGTGCTTGCGGTGTGAAGCCCCTGAGCACACCTTTCCCACGTGTTTCTAGCCAAAGCCACCTGAGGCTTGTTGAGTTTGTCCCACCTGCACCCAGTCCGTGACAATGGCCGTCCTAGCCACAGAGGGCGCTGTGCGCCCAGGACCCCTCTAGCCCACCCCTGCCGGACTTCCCCATCCTCGGCCCCCCTTTTCCTTCAGAAGCCTTTCTAAGTGCAGCGGGGAGGCCGGGGCTGCCACAGGTGGTCCCCAAGTTCTCAAGATGTTCCTTGAAGTGCAAGCACAGGACGCGGCCGTGCAGAGCACACACGGGCTGAGAGAGGTCCTTCAATGTCTCGGTTGGTCCCATCTTTCGGAGCAGTTTGGCTGCAGCACATTCTGGGATATTGAACTAGTTTCCTGGGGCTGCAGTAATAAAGCGTTTCTAATCAAAGTGGCTCAAAATGGCACAAGTTTTTTCTCTTGCTCCACTGGACTAGTCAGGAAATGGGCAGCGTTTCCTTCTGGAGTTCCTGGGCCCACGGCCCCACCCACATCATGTCGAGTTTTCTCCCATTTCCATGGCCACATTGCCTTCTGATGCTGACCTCCCACCGCTCTCTCATGTGGACCCTTGTGGTTACACTTAGGGCCTGCCTAGGTAATTCATGATGATCCCTCCATTTCAAAACCCTTAATGTAATTACACCTGCAAAGTCCCATCAGTGCTCACAGGTTTGGGGTACTGGGTCAGGCTGCCACCCACCTCCCAGCTCCGTGTGAGCACAAAGCAGACCTCAATGCCGGCAGCGACTGTGTGTGTCTCTAGATTAAGGTGCAGCTCCGGGCCCACTTTGTTAGATTGTTGTAAGGATGGAAAGAGTGGGCCACACGTGGGGAAGGAAGGGGAATGTCTGTCTCCCAGGCTGTAGAGGGACCCAGTCTGCTGAGCATCAAGGTCACTTCCACTGGGTAATGCTCAGCCCCCTGTCTCCTCCGCCAACTCCACGCCCCACCTGCACCTACACGACCTCCTGGATTGTGGCCATACATAGCGCACCCCAGTATTAGGAAGCCACAGATGGGGCACCTTGGAATAAAACAAGGGCTGAACCAGCACCAGCTTCTTGCAAATACTCTTGGAAGTGTGGGGCTGAGTTCAGGAGCTGCAGTTTCAGGGTAAGTAAGGACAGTCCGGCTGGGGCCACAGGGATCATAAAGACGGCCCTTCTCTAAGCAAGCAGCGCTGGCCTTAAAACTGAGCCCCACTCTGTCCCTCCTCTGATGCATAACTCTGAAAAGTCCCTTCATGTGTCAGAGCCTCCGTTCGGTTGCTGCAGGAATAAGGGGGTGGGGTTGATACAAGGGTCACTTCATCTCAGCTGTTGTGAGACTCTGAGTCCCTCTCGTGTCCACCCAAATCTGGCCAGGGGGTCCAAGACCTCAGTAAGCGCATAGTCTTGTGCCCTGCTCCCCCAGACTGACAGTGAAGGGAACCAAAGTTTTGCCACCCTAAAGCTGCCTTTGGGGGGTATTGATTTTAAGCTGCTTATTGTATGTCAGCAACAAGTCAACAAACAACAGGCGTTGGAGAGGTTGTGGAGAAAAGGCAACCCTAGCGCACTGTTGGTGGGAATGCAGACTGGTGCAGCCACTGTGGAAACAGTATGGAATTTCCTCAGAAAACTTAAAAATGGAACTGCCTTATGGTCTAGCAATTTCACTTCTGGGTGTATATTCAAAGAAGTCTAAAACACTAGTTCAAAAGAATAAATTGTAAATTTATTCTTTATAATTTATAAATTGCAGCATTATTTATAATAGCCAAGATGTGGAAACAACCCAAATGTCCATCAATAGACATGTGGATAAAAAGGCTGTGGTACATGTATTCAATGGAATATTACTTGGCCATTAAAAAGAACGAAAGCTTACCATCCGCAACAGCGTGGGTGGACCTAGAGGGTAGTAGGCTAAGTGAAATAAGTCAGTGAGGAAAAGGCAAAGACCATATGACTTCACTTATAGGTGGAATCTAAAGAACAATATGAACAAACAAACAAACAGACACAGTCACAGCAGCAGAGAACAGATTGATGGTTTCCAGAGAGGGGCGCTGGGGGGCTGGGTGAAAAAGGTGAAGGGACTGAGGAGTACAGGTTGGCAGTTATAGAACAGTCATGGGGGTGTAAGGTACAGCACAAAGAACAGTCAGTGCCATTGTGATGACTGTGTTCGGTGCCAGGGGGGCACTGCAGATATTGGGGGGACGCTCTGGGAAGTGTATGACTGTTAAGCAGTGTGCTGCACACCTGAAACCAACATGAAATAATTAAAAGAGAAAGAAAGACTCAGCAGGAATCTTTGACCCCTTTCCCCTTTCCTGACTAAGAGATTCAGACAAAGAAACCTGCTTCTGGAAGAAGCACGTCTCCTTCTCCTAATTCGAATTGAGTTTGGTGAGGGGAGGGCTTCAGGCAGGGCCTGTGAGCCGGACACTGCCATCTCCCACGGTTTCCGCGCCATCCCATCGTCCATTCTCACTTCTGAAATCTAACATCCCTCCGTTGTCCACAATGCCACGTGTACCCAGTGTCGCCCCAGGGTCTTTGGGATCTTCACGCTTGCATGAGTTCCCCATGCACACGTAGTAAAACAATTTTCTCCCCTTAGTCCGGAAAGGTCTCCCTTTCCCTGTGTCAGGAAGGCTGGCAGCCGGCTGCCTGTCTAGGCCCTTCTCCCAAGAGTTCCTGGGCCTCTATGGGCAAATATGGGTGCATGTGGGGTGTCGCCAAAAAGGCTGAAGCCACCCCCTTAAATGCCAGCTTTGGCTAAAGACAGAAGGAGACTTTTCAGGAGGGAAGTCCCTTACGGGTGGGGACTGGGAAAAGCACAGTAGATGAGGGTGACGTTCTGCAGTTCGAAGACCACACCTTCTCCGTGGACGGTGAGGGCAGGCCGGATGCCCTCACAGGTGGGGGCTTCCCTCACAAAGGTAGGCGGCCTTTTGTTACCGAAGGTAATTGGTTATTAATAGGGAAGAGAGCAAAGGGAGTGAGACATTGAGTTTAATGAACTGGGGAGCAGGAGCCTGTTTGCGTCACCAGGAGGCTGCAGCTTCACACCCCAGGGAGCCAGAGCATCACTCTGCGGGGGGTGGGGGGGGTAACCCTCTCCCCTCCCCCACCTGAACTCGAGGGACTGCAGAGGGTCAGAGGCAAGTACATGCGCAAGGGAAGTCAAAATGGCACAGGGGGAGGGGCTTGACCACACAGGCCTGCCAGTCGAACTAGGGGGTGGACGCATCAAAAGCCCATGAAAGCTCGGAAAGTTGACTGGTTATTTTAAAAAGCCCCTGGTCCGTCCCAAACCCAACCAATTATAATCCCAGGGGAACAAAGGAGCGCTCTCTCTCTCCCCCTCTCTCTACACCCCCCCCAGTGACCCGTACTTGTCCTGTTTGTTCTTGCACTGCCTCTCAGCCGGGAGCAAATACAACCATGTGTGTCCACCGGCTGTGTGCCTGCGAAAGGTGGGGTGGGCTCCACGGGCTCAGCTTTAACAGGAAGCAGAGACTCGGGACACTGGCTTTTGCTGTGGCCTTGCTGAGAACAAGGTAGGGCTTTTCCATGGAGACCGGATGCTGGAAGCCCAGGAGCAGATTTCCACCTGAATAAACCTCGCCACACCAGTCTCCCATGTGTGGGTCCGTGAAATACTTTTCCTGAGATCTTGTGGAAGAGTCCCACCGGCAACACTTAAAATTGGGTTTCAGAGCTTCTCCCCTGTGGGCTGTTTCTTAAAATTAGCCAAACTAAAACAATCGCTGTCCCCAAAGAGGCATATTTCAGGGTGGCAGGCTCTGCTCCCCTTCAGGGACATGCAGGGATGTGGGTGGTGACCCTAGTCAGAGCTCCAGTGGCTTTGCCAGAAACCTGGCTGCTGGAGAGAGGCCCGCGGGTCAGGACAGGGCAGGGCCGGTGGGCGGGGCCAGGGCGGGGCGGAGTCACGGCTCGGCTGCTGGGACCCTGACAAGTGCTGGCTCCACTCCAGCCAGCTCTCCGCGCCGTCCAGAGCCCACAGCCTGTCGCCTCCACTGTGTGCCCCTTCCGCCGAGGGACAGAGTAAGTACGGCCACTGCACACTGAGGGCCCGAGGGACGTGTGAGGAGGGTCAGGAAATGGACTCTGGAGGTAGGGCGTTCAGAGGGCTAACACGGGTCGGAGGGGTCCCGGAGAGAGCAGGAAAAGCTGGACACCGTGCTGGGGAAGGACTTGGGCCTCTCGGGCAGCAGAGGTGACCTTGGGCACCACACGAACTCTGGCTGAGCTTCAGGTTCTTTTCAGGTACAATGCAACTTACTCTACCATCTGGATGGGTGGCGTGACGATCAGTTACGAGGATAGCTGTCCCCAGGCACGATTTTCATCCCAGGGCACATCTGCGTGGAGATGTTTAGTTGTCACAGCCGGGGGTGGGGGTCGGTGGCTGCTGTTGGCATCCAGTGAGTGGGGACCAAGAAGGCTGCTCAACATCCTACAGTGCCCAGGACAGCACCCCGACCCCTACCCCCCCACCCACCACCACGACGAAGAATGATTCGGTTCTAACAAATGCCACCAGGGCTGAGGTCGAGAGACCTGAAATGAGGCAGTGGGGACAAGTGTCGGGTGCACAGGAGGAGCCCAGTAAATCTGACTTGTCTGTGCCTGGAATATCTAACCTTTCAAAAGCAGGAAAAATAATCAAATGTCATCTGGTTCCCTGAGATAAGGCCGCTCTGCCCCCCAGTTCGTGCTCTGCCCGGTGGCCATTGGTTAAGTAAACAAAACAGAGGCATAAGGTGCTTCCAGTTTTTCTACAGATCGGGCTGTTGAGAAGAAATGTCACAGTAACAGGGGAACTGCTCCCCTGGGCAGGAGGGAACTCTGGGGGGTGATGGGCGTCAGTGGTGATGGTTTTGTGGGTGTACGTTTCTCACCGACCTCACCAAGCCGTACACATATGTGAGTCCTACCTTAATGGGGTGGCTTTTAAAAAGGAAAAAGAAAGAAAATGGAAGCGGAGCAGTGGTGGGGGAGTTGTTCAAGGTCACGTGGCAAGTGAGCCCCAAGGCCGCTGCCACTCAGCTGCAGATGCCCAGCCTGACTGCTTTCCACCACTCCTGGTGTCTGGGGTGTGGCCTGACACCTCTGAATTACAAAGAACGAGGCCGGTTCATTCATTCACTCACTCATTCATTCATGGCACAGAGGTGCCTCCCCCCATCAGCCCATGCCTGCTGTGAGGGCATCTGCTAGGGGCAGGGAGTGGTGGGAACGAAAGAGGCCAACCGCAGATGCACCTGCAAAGGCACTTATATTATCCCCTGAGAGAGGAGAGGAGCAGTGAAGAGGCCCGAGACCTCTGGAGAAGCTGGCCCTGGCGAGGAAGGTGGAGAGAGGTCTCCTTCAGAGTGCAGAATGTGCAAAGGCCCAGGGCTAGGATGGGCTCGCTGTGTCCGAGGAAGTAAATAAAGAAGTGTGTCTGGAGAGCACACGTGTCCGAGGGCAGAGCAGGACAAGCTGAGGCTGGGGAGAGCCGGGCAGAGCCAGACTACGTGGGGGCACCGCATAAGTGAGAGTTAAATTTTACCCTGAATGAATGGGCAGCAACGATGTTTTTAGGCAGGGGAGTACGGTGACCTTGGTTGTGATGGAAGGAGATTCGGATGCCATGTAGAGTGGCTCGTGGGGAGAAGAGAAGCAGGGTGGGCCAGGTGAAAAATGGAAGGGGCTTCCATGAACACAGCGGCAGGGACAATGGGGAGAAGCAGGCAGATTTAAGACACCTTTTGGAGCTGGAAAGCAACAAGGCTTGCTGGTGGTCTGCAGATGGGAGGGAGGTTTTCGAAGTTCTCTAGATCACTGCTCTCAGGAGGTCTGTGCCCTCGCCCTGGGCCTTTAGGACCAAGGGAAGCTGGGATTCCGTCCTTCCCTGTCCGCCTGGAACCCGGGGTCCATTACCTTTGGCAGTTAGCAGATCACAGGTGGTCTCTTCTCAGTCCCACAGTGCCAGCAGCTGAGGCCAAAAGGGACCTGGGCAGGACTTTCTGCCTCCCACTTGGAATAAAAGCCAGCGGATTTGGGGGCCATGGATACTGAGGGATCGGTGGGTGAACTGCCCAGGGTCTGCTTACCTCCAGCTGCCTTGGGTCACTATGGCCTGGATGTCACAGGCCTGGATGTCCCAGGAGCTTGGCTACTCTACTGCCATCCTCTGACATACAGAAGCATTTCTGAGGAAACATCAGCGTCCGGTGCCCGGGGGAAAGTCAGCCAGGCCTGGCTCTGCCAGCCTCCTGAGTGCCAGGCTCACGGGTCCTGGAGCGGCTTACCCCCGCTCGAGGCTGGCACGAAGCTGTCAGAGCTGCGGATTTCCACCAGAGGCCCAGAAGCGCGACAGCAGAGCCTGGGCCCTGAAACTAGGAAACTGGAATGAGTCCCCTGAGAACTCCCCGTTCTGGGGAAAGGACCTCTCTGACCCTCTGTTTGCGCTTCTGTACAACTTGATCATGCTACCAGCTCACACTGTTGTGGATGAGCTAATACAGATGAGTAGTCAGGGAGAGACCCGGGGTACGCCCCAGGAGCTACGGGGGCAGGGACCTGTGTCAGGTGTCGTTCCTCGGGGACATGAAGGGACAAATCAGAGGAATCTGAGTTATAGTCCAGTGCCATCACTCCCTGGCTGGGACAAGCAAGTCCATTTGGCTGGGCCTCAGTTTGTTCACCTGTAAAATGAGGTTAACAGTGCTTACTTTTGATGAAGATGATATGCAGTACTATTTATAGAGTGTCTTAATAAGTTCTGGATACAGTGGCTTTAATAAAAGAGAGTGGACCCAAATAGGGCGAGATGTCTGGGTCCCAAACCTGCAGCCAGGGAGGGGGGCCTCTCCAAGGAGACCCCGCTCTTCAGGGAGAGCCAGTGGGCACTTGGGGGTTGGGGACAGTGGTGGGGAGGAGGGTTACTGGCTGCCACAGTGACAGACCTCCTGCTGCTTAGAAACAAACTGAGGCCAGAGAGAGGGCAGGCCTGTCCCAAGGTCATCAGCTGGGAGGGTGGGGGGATGAGAAGCCGGAACATTCACTCCCACTCCTTCCAAGCAGGAAACTCCCCCCGCAACTGTAGCTTTTCTTTGAAAGCCTTCCTTTTGGGGTGCTGACCAGCTCAGTGCTAATCAGCAGGGGTGGGGGTGTTGAGCTCAGCTCTTTCTTCAGCAGCAACCTGCTACATTGATCGTCCCACACTTGGCAGGGAGGCCACTCTTGGGAATAGACAGGGAGTGTCAGCATGGGAAGGTCAGAACGTGTTTCCAAATTATCTGCAGATTAGGGGCTGTCCTTGCCTGAATGCCTAGAATACAAAATTGGGACGCTGTGACGCAGCAATGGAGGACCGGGGGTCTGGGGAGGAGGAGCTAGGGGTCCAGGGAGGAGGATTAGGGGTGTGGGGAAGCCAAATGGTAAGGCATTTTAGAGTGAGGGCTTGGAAAGTCAGAACTGGGTCTGAGCCCAAGATTTGCCACTGTTAGCCAGAGACTCAACCTCTCTGAGCCTCGGATTGCCCATCCATAAAATGGGGCTGGGGGTAGACCCTCTCTCTGTGGGTGGGGGTGAGGCTGAAGGAGTTGACGTATGTGAGGACCGCGTGGCTTCTGACAGGGGGTGCAGGCCTTGTTCCTGGCTCCCCACGGGGTGGTGATTGCATGCTGGGTAGTCTGAGGTTCTGCGGACAGAACATTCTAAATGTGCCTCCTTTGTGAGCTCAGACGCAATTTGGAGGCCAGGGCCTATCTGTGTGACCTGTTGAGTCACTTGGTTTGGCTCATAGATAGGACTGCAGCCCCGTTCCGCCCGACTCCCAAGTTCATTGGCTTTCTATGCCCCCCACCACTTTCCTCTCCCCACCCCTCAACCTCACCTGCAGGGGGCCATTCTGCAAGTGAAATCCACTGCAGCTGTTGGGGGGCCTTTGGACTCTGGCAGTGCCCACCCTGGGCGGCCGGGGGCGGGCTCCCAGCTGAGGGGACGTCACCTGCATCAGGAGTCAGTCAGACCCACGGTGCCTCAGGAATCATCTGTTCCACCGATGCCAGGATCACGTGAGAGTGTGTGTGTGAAAGCGTGTCCCCCGCAGCCTCGTCCAGGCAATGGGGTCTCAGGCGGGGCTCTGGCCAGACGCTGCCACACTGACAGCTCACACTCCTAGAAGCACCAGGTCTGTGCTGGGCCCTCACTTCTGTGCACTCACTCCGGGAGAAAGGGACTGACTGGCATCCGGGTGCACACTGATGACTCTCAAAAGCCTGGCCCCCCGGGCAGTCACATAGTAGGTGCTCATGAAATAGCCGTGGCATGAATGAATCCAGGCTGCAAGCCCCGTGGGGGGTGGTTGGCCTGAGGAGCACCAGGAGGCCTTGCACGTGCTTTACCTGGGACAAAGGGAAGGTTAGCAGACCGCTAGCTCCCCCGGAGCATCAGAGACTAGGCCCAGGCAGGACACGGGAGAATCTCCACCCCCAGGTCCCCTCGCCCTGTGGTGTGTCCCTGGTTGTGAGGACAGGGGAAGAGTCTTGCCCCGGTGGCCAGGCCCCGCCCCGGGGCCACACCCCTCTGCCTTCTTCTTCTCCCTGCTAAGTCCTCTCTGGTGCCGCACTCGGGTGGTGGCGGTTCTCTAGGAGGTCAGCCTTGCACACTTGCACCCGGTCTTTTCTCTGAGAAGCCCCGCTGGCCCCACAGCCTCCTGAGCACTTCTTCCCACTCTCCTTCCAGAACCAGAGGCAGCGCCATGCAGCTGTGCCTCCCCTTCTTCCTGGTGCTGCTCAGCCTGCAGGTGGCCAGCCTCCCCCGCCGCCACCACACCTGGAGGACGAAGAAGAGAGTCAGGGAGCTGCCCGTCGTCAGCACAGCGGCCCCCGGTAACCAGAACTTCACCTTCGACCTCTACAGGGCCTTGGCGGCTGCCGGCCCCGACCAGAACATCTTCTTCTCCCCTCTGAGCATCTCCGTGTCTCTGGCCCTGATCTCCCTGGGGGCTCGGTCCAACACAAAGACACAGATCTTGGAGAGTCTGGGCCTCACTGTCCAGGGGGGCCCAGAGGAGGAGGCGCTCCACAGCGGCTTCCACCAGCTGCTGCAGGCGCTCCGCCAGCCCAGAGAGGACCTCCAGCTGGGCCTCGGCACCGCCCTGTTCGTCCTGCCCACGATGCACATCCAGGACACCTTCCTGAGCACCGCGAGGACCCTGTACCTGGCAGACACCTTTCCCACCAACTTCAGGGACCCTGAAGCTGCCCAGAAGCAGATCAATGATTATGTGGCCAAGCAGACGAAAGGCAAGATCGTGGACTTGGTTCAGAACCTGGACAGCTCTGAGATCATGGTTCTGGTGAATTACATTTTCTTCAAAGGTAAGACCCTCGAGCTTGAACCTGAACTTCCTCTTTCTTTTCAGCTGCTTTTATTAAAAGAAGACCCAATTCCCACACACATGAAGGTGTGGGAGTAGATTTAGCCTTTTCTGGTGCGTGTTGACAGAGTGAAGCCAACAGCGGCTGCAGGTAAGAGGGTGCCCTCTCACTGTGTACCTGGGGAAGGGCTGCTTCCTGTCTTTGGGCCCCTGGGGCATCTGAAGGTGCCGCTTCCACACAGGTTCTCTAACGTGAGTTGCTCATGGTCATTGGGGCACATGGCTACTGACATCGTGGCCACTTGGGGCAGGACTTTGGGCCTTAGCAGGGACTTTGCAGGCATGTCCCAGGCCACGCCCTTACCCCAGGCCCTTCACATCCCAGGGGCTGCTTCCTTAGCCAAGAAATCTCCCATCAGGAGCCTGTTCCTCTGAAAAGTGTTCTCTTCCCTCCTTGAGGGCTAATCCCTGTCTTTAGCTTCCTGACGTTTCTTATAAATGTCTCCCCTCATCTCGGCTGTCACTTCTGCCTCCAAAGCAGCGACTCAGCCAGTGAGTCAGGTACTCAGGGTACCTGACTATTCAGTCAGGGGCATGGACCTCTTTTCTTTTGGATTGTCAGATTTCTTGAAAAATGACAATAGCCAATACAACAATAGCCCTCCAGTGTGAATGAATCAAAATGATACCTTTTTACTTGTCAGATCTACCGAAAACTATTCCCTGGTGTGCCGCAGAATGTTAGTGGTCAGTTTATGTTGCCGAGAAATGAAAAGGGTTGGAGATCTCTGTGCTGACCGCTGAGCCCTCAGCGCTCCGTGCGGGGCCTGGCTGAGGGTGGGAGGGAGGAGCAGAAGAAGGGAGAGGGGAAGAGGGAAGGGAGGGGAGGGCGGGGTGGGGAGAAGAGCAGGGGGGGAGAGAGAGGGAGAAAAACAGTGAAATGTTAACCGCCCACCCCTCTTCCTACGCTCACAGACAGCGAGTATCAGGCTTGGGTTCTAGGATTCCTTGTCCCTGGCCTGGGCTATGCCCTTGCACCAGGCTGCAGAGGACAGGTGCGAACTAAGCTGAGTTGGCATTGGGGTGGGATCTGTATTTGATAATTATGAAGAAGGTGGAGATAATTACTTGTATCACTCTGATCAAAAAATCCCATAGGGAGAGACAGAGCAGGACAAGTAACTGAAGATTTCCCCGTAGGAAAAATCTCGTATTTCCGCAAATCCGACCAAACTTTCTTCCAAACGGAGATCAAAGTCCAGCACTGGGAAAAGAGTGAAAGACAGACGATGCACCTAGATACAGTGTAGCTTTACCAGCCATCCGTGTTTTTCGCCCTCCCCACGTGGATACTTGGCCTTCGGTTATACCAGGGAATCGCACAGACACACAAGGTTCAGGGTCTCTGAATGTGGAAACCAAGCTCCCTGTCTTGCAAATGTCGCAGAAGCCCCACAAAATGTTCGAGCGTGTTCCCCCTCAAATGGTAAAGGGGTCCCAGAGCGGTTCAACGGTCACCGCCACCAGCGAGAGTGCTCTAAAAGGGGACGATCTCCGTTGAATAGGGTTGCGGTCTCCCCATTTCCCGTTGGCAGCTGAGAATCTCTCATTTCTTGTCCCTGTTTACTTTAATCTTTAGCTAAGTGGGAGACCAGCTTCGACCACAAAAGCACCCAAATGCAGGACTTCCACGTGACCCCAGAGACGGTGGTGCAGGTGCCCATGATGAGATGCGAGAATGAGTATTACTACCTCCTGGACCGCAACCTCTACTGCAGGGTCGTGGGCGTCCCCTACCAAGGAAATGCCACTGCGCTCTTCGTTCTCCCCAACGAAGGCAGGATGGAGCAGGTGGAGGCTGGGCTGAACCAGGACACACTGAGGAAGTGGCTCAAGAAGCTCACAAAGAGGTATTCTCAGGCCACACTGGAACCAGCCTAATGCTACGCACCTCCAGTGAGACACATGTCCCCTAAGGCCACATAGCCATGGCGGGAAGGGCTCACCTAGCCCAGGAGCTGCCTCCCAACCCAGAGGTATCAGCTGAAGTCCCAGAGCTCCTGGGCCTGGCCCAGCTGCAGGGAGTGGGGCTGGAAGCCTGCTTTCCTGGTGGTGCCTCCAGAGTGTGCGGTGGTCTCTGGGGTTGCCCGGGGCCAAGTCCAAAGTGAGATGGGCTCTGCTCCAGGCAGGAGCTGGAGGGTCATTAGGAAGCTGAAGGGAGATGACAGGAATATGAGTAATGGTCCGATGCTCTAGAAGAGTCTAACAAAAGCCTTCCATTTTTAGAAGGCTCCAGCTTCACCTTCCGAAGTTCTCCATGGAGGGCTCCTATCAGCTGGAGAAAGTCCTCCCCAAGCTAGGGATCAGGGACATCTTCACCTCACAAGCTGACCTGACCGGACTCTCCAACCATTCTAACATCCAGGTGTCTGAGGTGAGCTCATTCTATTCTCTTCCATTGTGTTCTTCTCCATTCCATGCCCGCATATCCAGTTCTGTCCTATCCTATTCTGTTCCACTCTATTCTATTCTAATTTGTTCTGTTCTATTCCATGGAATGGAATGGAATGGAACATGGGTCCCATTCTTTCTCTTTCTCCTCCTTAAAATGCAAAGACTTCCCTTTGTGTCCTATTCCTCTGTGCAGTGAGAAGTCATATCTAGCAGTGCCTCGGGGGAAGGAGCCCTGTATTAAGCAATCAAAACTAAAAATCAGGTAGTACCTCCTTCACTCGCCAGCTGCGTGACCTCCAACAATGCTTTGACCTCTCTGAGCCTCCTTTTGTTCTATAAAATCAGAGCACTGCACTGTCACCGTGAGAGCCATGTGAATTCAATGACAGACACACATGCTCCTGTGCCTGGCACATGGCCGCTGCGGAGTCCTGTCATTCCCCACCTGCTTCAAGGTTCAGCTGCACAGAGACCCTGACAGCAACGCCACGGGCAGAAGGTTGGCCACTTCCTGTGACGGCATTCCCTGCCCCTGGTGATCTGGCGGTGTCTGGTGTCTCCCCTGCAGATGGTGCACAAAGCCGTAGTGGAGGTGGACGAGTCGGGAACCAAAGCGGCTGCGGCCACTGCAGTCATGTTTGTGTTCCGGTCGGCCCGCATAGGCGCTCAGGTGGTAGCGTTCGACAGGCCCTTCCTGATGATGATTGTGGAGAACACTGAGAACATCCTCTTCCTGGGCAGAGTGGCCCGCCCTTGAGGCGGGGTTTTTCCCGACAGGTCGCAGGCCTCCTCGGTGGAAGAAGTGGGTGCACGCTGGCCTTCGATCTGCTGAGAGCTAGTGATTTAAGCAGGTGCAGTTGGCTAGTGAGACTTTCTCAAAGAATAACAGTAACCTTGATACACTGATGATTGCTTCTTTCACCCAATCTCAAGGCACAAGTGCCGTGAAGAATCCTAGAGAACAGATGGTCTTGCCTTCACCCTTCGTCAGTGGAGGCAAGCTCTGAGGCCCAGAGAGTTTGCTTGACTTGCCCAAGGTCACATGGCACATTAGTGGTGGAAAGGAGCCTGCAACCCGGCCCCTGGTTCCCGGCCTAGTGCTGCATTCAGCTCTGTAGGAAGGTTCTCCCGGTAGACATTTCTACCAGGACGTGGACGTCCAAGCCTCGTCCCCTACTTACCAGCAACACCAGCTATCTGTGTGTTACGGTTTCGAAAGAACACCGGAATGGAAGTCTGGGATGGGGCTTCTGTCCCAGCCCAGCAGCTGTGTGACAGTGGGGCAATTCTTTCCCTCTCTGGACTCTGGTTTCTCCACGTATGCATTGAAGGATCAGGTCAAGGCTGGAAGGATCCTTGAAACCATACAAGAAGGCTGGGGTGTTACTGCCAATCACAGTTGATGTCAATCCATTTGAGTGCCACTCAGCCTTTTAGCAAAGCAATGGACAGCGAGGTGGAAATGGCCTTTCACAGGACTGTGCCATCCTGTGGATGAAGTTACAGCCTTGTGGGCTTGGGTGGCGATGGGGGACTGGAGGCCTGCTGCAAATAGTAGAGCATCATTTGAAGATACTGCCGAACTTTAGTGTCAGTCATAACAATAAAGTGTTTTGCAAGCACTGGGTGTCGTCTTTAGGGAAGTGGCTCTAGGAATGGTGACATAGATAGCTGACCATGTTCCAGATTAGGTGCTAGGCACTTCACCTGGACGGTGCTATTGCCCTTCACAAGATCCTCTAGGAAGCAGGTGCTATTATTCCCATTTTACAGATGGGGAAGGTGAAGCTTGCAGAGAGCAGGTGGCTTCCCCAGTCCCACAGATCCTAAGGGGCAGAGGCAGGGTTTGACTCCAGACCCACAGAGTTGGCCCTGTGCTGTAGTGCAGAGGGGACAGGACCAGGAAGCCGACGCCCAAGTCAGGGGCACCTTCATCTTAGCTGCTTTATGGTCAGAGAGGCTCACTCCCTTTTATAAAACCCCACACATTTTTCTCTCCAAGGGGATCAGACGCTTTAAAGATGCTTCAGTGAACAAATAAGCAAATGAGCCCTTCATTCAGTCTCAAAGGGCCCCTAACCAGCTGCCCCCAACTCTGACCCCTGAAGGTCTGCCCACCTTGCCACCCTGCATGGGTCCTTGGCCTGCCTTCCACGAGGTTGCTTGCATGACTCTGGGCCTGGAGTCTGGACTGTACCATGGAAGGGTGCCCCTTAGAACTAATAAGATTGGAACCCCACGTTTGACCACTCCCCAAAGTACTAAGCACCTACTATGTGCTGGCCCAAGGGGACGCTTGGCATCTGTGATCTACCTCATTAATCCCTGAACCGCCCTTCGGGGCTTATCACTTTCATCCACTTTATGGAAACAAACCTAAGTGCTTGCCCTGCGCCCCACAGTGTGACAATGACAGTCCCTGGCTCTGGGACCCAGATGGCATGTGTTGACCGGTGGCAGAGCAGATGGCTGCGTCCTGACCCAGACAGCTTGTCTGCATCGGTGCTTTGAGCTCAGGACAGCGTTCGGGGGTTGGGCCTCCTAATGGGGTCAGACCCGCTCCCGTGTGCCTTCCCCTCAAGAAACGCCTCATCTGTTTGCCCAGCTGGTCCAAGGTCAGGGGGAGGCTCTGCCTGTGCAACACATCTAAGGCCAAGGTCCAACACTGTCTAAACTTCCTGGGCAAATGGTCAGCCAGCAGCTACTGTGGGCAAGATTGGGATGGGTGCCGGGTGCCGACTTGTGAGCCTCAGCCGCGTGTCAGGCACTAAAGCACCCTACTAGGTGCCCCATGTCACTCCATGGTCACATGACCCTGGGGTGAACAAAATAGTATAGGCGCTCAGAGAGAGAGAGAGGAGGAATGAACTGCTGGGGGTCATCAGAAGACTTCGTGGAAGAGGAGGCCCTGAGCAAGTCTTGAAGAATAAGCAGGATTTTGACAGACAGCCGTTTGGGAACAGGGATGGGACTTCAAGGCACAGGGAACAATGACTCGAGAGGAGTGTGATATTGAGTGACCTGCCATGTGCATGACAAACCAGAGACCTCAGTCTGGACCAGTGTTGGGGAAGAGGGGACGGTGCTGGTCGTCCCGTGGCAGGGACCCTGAACACAGGAGTGGTGGTTTGTCTGTTCTCTCTCACCGTGATTTCAGGGTGGTTTGGCCACCACACCACACCGCGAGCATCCCCTGGACCTCTTCTCATCCTTCACTGTCTCATCTGCCCATCAGTAGGTATCCCCACTCAGCCCTCTAGGGGGCGCTCACATCCATCCATTCCTGCTCCATCACCTAAGGGCCGCTCCTCTGCTTGACCTCATCATCCCACCTGGTAAAAAGGTAACGGGGTCTCAGGGTGCCTGCACATATAAGCATGACTGACTCCCCAGGACCCTCTTTCTTAGCCACTAGTATTAGTTTACTAAAGCTGTCATAACAAATGCCCCAGGCTGGGCAGCTTAACAACAGAAATGTGTTCCCTCACAGTCCTGGAGCCTGGAAGTCCACAGTCAAGCCTGTTGGCAGGGTTGGTTCCTTCTGAAAGGTCCTCCTGGCTTGCAGGTAGTCAACAAATAAACACAGAATGACAAACTGAGGTGAGGCACGGCCTCAGCACTCTGGCCAGAGGTCCCCCAGCCCCACCTGACCCCCAGACCCACCTCCGGGCTCCCACCGTCCCCCAAACTTCCCTCTATCACCTTCCACGTGTGTGGTCACTGTCCCTCTGGGTCTGTGACTCTCACACACTACAAAATCTGCGAAGGCTCGGGTCATCCCTGCACCCCTGGTCCCCTGCTGTGGCCTTGGCCCAAAGTGGGCTCTCAACAAGTGTTGGATGAACAAATGGAAGGGCTGAGTGAGGGAAGGCTCCAGAAGACCCCAGGCCCCTACATGCCCTCAGCCCCCGCCTGAGCCTCAGACCCCAGCATACACAGCCTGAGCTGCCCTGCGGGTGGGGTCGCTGATACTCCAGCTGTAGGAAACCAGGACGTGTGAGAAGCAGCCATTCCAATATCCAGAAGCCAACGGTCCTTGCGGCAGAGGCAGGGAAGCCAGTCACAGGGACAGCGGGGCAGGGCTGCTTGCTTGCAAGGGGAGTGGGAGCAGGTCTAGGTGAGTGAGAGGGTCGGGTCCCAGAAAGGACCACGGAAACCTCCTGGCCACATATTGTGCAGCCTGGAGTAGAGGAAAGACGACTCCTCTGTGATCGCGTCCTGCTGAGGCCTGGGACAGAAGGTGGGTAAAGGGCGTCGAAACCTCTCTTCTCCTGAATCAAGCCGAGGGGCCTGTGGACTCTGCAGGGACAGGGCTGCTGGAGGGAGCGCGTGCAGGGCCCTGCCCCACTGGTATCCCAGCTGCAGAGGTGGGTGGGGCCAGTCCACGTGGACCCTTCTAGACTGAGCAGAGGGGCAGAGCGGTGGGGAGAGGCTTCAAGCAAGGGAGTGGCCCTGGATGCCCTGAATGAGCAAACATGCTCTGGACCCGGGTAGAAAGCAGACCAGCCGGGCAGTTTGGGGGGCAAGCTCAGGTGGCAGGCGGGAGGTGGCAGAGGGCTCGGTGGTCACGGCACTTGGAGCCGGGACTGGGGTGTGGGCAGTAGAGACGGAGAGTGCTCAGTGGTTCCGGGATTTGGAAGAGGAGGGTCCCGTCCCACGCTGAGAGGGGGGAGGAGGAGGAGGAGCCGTGTTTCCTGGCTGAGCTGGGAGACAGGGACAGCCTACAGCCTTTACCGAGGTGTGAGGAGTGTGGGCCAGAGAACAGCAGGGGGTTTGTTTAGGGCCTGATCAGTCTGAGAAGCTGCCTAGGAGGCACTGGTGTCAAAATTCTGGTCACCACAGATCCGTGAAACACAGAAAGAGCCTCGGCAACACCCCAGGGAAGAGGAAAGAGGGGACCAATGGGACACAGAACATGGCAGGGGGCACAGAGGAAGTGGGGGTGCCTGGCCCTGCCTTCAACAGCACCCAGGGCAGCAAAGAGCTTGGCAGGCACCTCCACGCCCCCAGGCCCCTGAAATCAGAAACCTGCCACTGTCCTCGTGACTAACCATCAGTCCCTCCAGGCAGCATAGCAAGCCTGGGCTCTCTGGACCACGTGCCAGGATCTCTCTAAAGGCTGGCACGGAACATGGGCAAGGCCTTGGGCTGGAGTCCAGACGCCTCCACCCTCCTGCTGGGCTGCTCCTGTTAGAGGGGGCTGTGTCTCAGGGCCAGGCTGGGGACGAGTCAGCAGAGAGTGGCACAGTGTTTCCCAGAGAGGACAAGTGTCGGCTCAGAGCCAGCAGCCTGCCGGTGCAGAGTCCCGGCTGGGCGCTTCCCGCCTGCCATCTTGGGAACTCGTTTCATCTCTCTGCCGTCAGTTTCCCCATGTGTAAAGTAGAATAACTGAACTGCTTCAGGGCGTATGGTGAGAACTCTCAGCATAAAGAACAGCACAACTGTGATTATATCACCATCACCATCACAACCGGGCATCTGTGTGGGTGGAGAAGAGTTTGCTTAAAAGTAGGGAAGTCAGAAGGAACATGCATTTACTGAGGCATCAACTATGTGGACCATGCTGTTTGGTGAAATTGACTTTTATTTAATATAATACTCAAGTTTCTCTGATTACAGTCTTCTCCTGATCCTGAGAGCCAAGCGGGCAGGTGGTGTGGATTTGGATTAAGCTACAGCTGCGTAGTGACTCATTCCAATAGTTTGCAGCCTGGAACACAGAGCAGTTCACTGTCTCCCAGTGTCTGAGAGTCTGGGCTGGGTGACTCTGGCTCAGAGTTTCTCATGCACTTGTACACAAGCTATAGGCTAGAGCTGCGGGTCCTGAAGACCAGACAGGGGCTGAATTCCATGCCCAAGTTCACTCAGGTGGCTGTTGGCAAGAAGCCCTGGCTCCTTGGCTCCTCGGCCTATTCACAGGGCTGCTCAGACATGGCTTCTCGTGGAGAGAGAGAGAGAGAGAGAGAGAGAGAGAGAGAGAGAGAAGAACGTCCATGGTCAATTTATGACCCAGTATCTCAGAACTAATCCCCCATGCCTTTCCATGCTCACTTCATTTGCAACAAGTCACTAAGTTGGTCCAACTCTTGGAGAGGGTCATTAAGCTCTATTTCTTGAAGTCAGGATTATCTAAAATTTTGTGGGCTCATCTTTAAACTGATCAGAATATTGTAACCCAAGAACCCAGGAGAGGAACTCCAGGCAGAGTCCTAATAGGACACAGGTGGACCGAATGAACGTGTAAATAAGTGGGTGCATGAGGAGGGTGTTCCTGCCCCACTTTACAGAAAGGAAAGTTGAAGTGCGTGTAAGGTTGGTGGGTAGGAAGCCAGGGGCGGGCTGCTCTTTGCGGGAGTCCTTGTGTACCGGGTGAAACCCCTGGTGTCACCTGTAATGTAGAAGGAAGGCGCTGTAGCAATGGTAACTGGAGACGGCCAGCTGTAGTAGGTCACTCCTCCTCAGAAGAATACGAGACACAGCACAGGGAGCAATGAATGACTAAGCGGCCCGCAAAACAGACTCGGGAATTTCCCCTGCTCCTGCCAGACGCTCCTGCAGGAGCCTCCAAACCACGTGGGGGCACGCTGACAGGACTTTGCAAATGTGCCACAGGCCTGCAGCCAGCATCTCCCCGAAGACCACAAACCAGGTCAGCGCAAACACAGCCAGCGGGTGGCCTGGGTGGCAGGCGACAACAGGCAGGGGACTCTGTAATTTTCCAACAGAGAGCCGAGTCAACAGGCCTGTGAGAGAGAAGATAGGACCTACTCCGGGATGTGGGCTGTTGCCAATATTTCATTTCTTCCCCCCTAAGAATTCTTTAAGGAGCTAGGATAGACAACAGAGGCTCAGAGAGGTGGAGTTACTGGCTTGAAGTCATCCATGGTGGCAGAACCACAATGCAGAGAGAGCGATCGAGCCCCTCCCACCACTCCCCCACTGGCTCCCGCTCCAGGACAGAGCTCTCTGAGGGAACAAGCACTGGTCTCTCCACGGAGATGGGACACCCTCCTACCTGAACTCCCCTGTCCACTCCCACCCCGCTGAGCCCCAGAGATACATTGTGTCCATTTGCAAGCCCAACCCGAGGGCAGGTGCTTCCTAGGGTTTTGCTCAGCCCACCTGTGCCAGGCCAGCGTTCAGGAGCCAGAAGGAGCAGCACAAGGCCTGGGAAAACAGTGAACAATCATAAAGGTCAAGCTTGCCGAGTCCAAGTCAGTCCTGTTCTCATGGACTCCATGTGTGTCTGGGGACAGTGAGAGTGACCGTCCTGTGGACAAACCATCCAGTCTGGACTGAGCATGCAAGGTATGCCTTTTATCTCCCCACCTTCGGGGCAGGGGCCACAGCCACACTCCCACGGGCCCCACAGGCTGGTCCTGCTTCCCACCTGGGCCAGTTTCTATGCCCTCGGACCCCCAGGTCTCTTGAGTCCTGGAAACCATAGCTCTGACCCCACTGAAGCCAGGATGGACCCTTTAGCTCTCTAGGCTGTGGGCAGGATGGACCCCCAGCTCTGTGGGCTGCCTGCCTGGGTCCAATGCAAGTCTGAGGGACATAGCCATTCACAGTCACAGATGGGAGGTAGTGACTGACGAGGACAGAGCTCCCGTTCAGCTGGGACACCGCCCCACATAAAAGAGGCCGCCTTCCCTACCCAGATCCAGAGAACACCACTGCCTTAAACAGCGAGCACCCCAACACCTGTGCAAGGATTATTCTCCTGACACTGTCACTTTCTCTCCTGTGCTCAAGGATGCACACGCCTTCCTTTTTCTTCCATGTATGTGTGTATGTATGTATGAATGTATGTATGTATTTAAGAAAAAGCATGAAAGAATAGAAAGAGCCTGGATTTGGCATTGGGTTGGTTTTGCCCAATTTCCACCAGCTCTACCACTTAATAACGGAGGTGGGGGTGGTCCCTGGGAAAACATGAGATTCGATGCTGGAGTCTTTCCTTCCACCCCAACCCCAGGCCTCAACAGGAACACGTGTCCGGAAGCTCTGGGGGGAGCCTGCACTCAAAGAGCGAACATGCCGGCGCATGGGTGTGGACTCCATGTGTGTCTGACCACAGCGGGCCCAGCAGCCAAGTCCAGCCCACAGCTTGTTTCTGGGTAAGTTGCAAGCTAGGAATAATTTTTTTTTTTTACATTTAAAAAACATCCGATAAAAAGAAGAGGAGGAGGAAGAGGGAAAGGGGAGGAGGAGGAAGGAGGAGGACATATGTGTGCTGTGAAATCTATAATGTTTATTATCTACCCCTCTACAGAAAACTTCTGCAGACCCTGGGACTTCCCACCTCCCGTTAAGGGCAATGGCCCAGACTGCACGGACAGGTCACCTGGAAAGCAGAATCTTTACATGTTTCTTTCCCTACGAGATGCCAAGGGCCTAAATCACTGGCACATGAAATCACTCTGCACATTTTTGTACGGTAAAAGCAGGAATAAATGAATAAGTGAGTGATGTATGGAAAACACCTGGTAACCTAAAAAGTTCATGTGTTACAAGGACAAAGATACATACTCGTTCAAAATCTGCGGCCCCTTCTACTTCTGGATGGGAAGCTGGGCTCTGCCCTTGAGCAAGGCCCTCCACAGGTTCCAGGGGAGCGGGTCTTGGAGCCCATTTCTGCAGAGGCAGAAAATGCCAAGTCAGGGAGCAAAAGCAGAGAAGAGATCCTAGGCTGGTGTAGGGGAGAAAAATAATTTTCTCTCTTCCCTTCTAGGTTCTTGGCTGAGACTCTACCCCTGTAATAAAAGACAGATGAATAGGAAAAAAATAAACAGAAGTTTAATAGCATGTATACCTCTTGCCTACATGGAAGACACCTAGGTAAACCAAGGGACTCCCCAAAATGGCCCAAGCCAGCACCTTAAATATTATCTTCAGCTAAAAGCAAAAGAAGATATTGGGAGAGGGAGGGGCCAGTTTATGGGAAGTGACCAGGAAAAGCACCACAGTCAAGGTTATAGTTGTAACACAGATGTAAGTCCTAGCCTCCTCCACTGACAAGGGTCTCTAGGGGCTCACTCATCTTCCTCTTCCTGGTGCAGAGAAGGAGACACCTTTAAATGGGGATTTCTCTTACAAATGTAAACGTCCCTTATTTTGTAAGGGATATACAAAAAGACGTATTTTGTGTGAGACATTCTGCTTCCCTTCACCTCCTCAGCCTGCAGGGTGCACACAAATTGCCTGGGGTGCTTATTAGGGTGCAGATTCTGAATTAGTAAGTCTGGGGTGGGTCCCAAGGGTTTGCCTTTTGAACAGGCTCTCTGCTGCTAGTCCATACTTTTGAGTGTGGCAAGTGTGAAAGTGTGTCAAAGCTCTCTTTCTAATGGGCACAGGCATAGCTGCAGACATCACTATGATTCTAATTTATTTCCTTTTTGTGGGGTTCAGAAATATGGTGGGGGTCCCCTTGATTCAGAGGAAAGAATATTCTCAAAGAACTAGTGACCACAAGACTGTCTCCAGTGATACTGCAGCCTTGGTGGCCAGTAAGAGAGATAACTAGGAAAGGATAATGCTAGAGGAGAAGCCAGTGGGTTCTGGAATAATAGCATCTTACCTTAGTTTTGCTTCTCTTTTCCTGCTGTAATTCCCTTATGCTCTCACCAGACCATAGAGAACACTGACATGGCCATCCTTGTATGAACATCGCTGCAGAACTGAAGGGCCTGTACTGGTGCTTGGGGCAAAGCAGACTGAGGAAGGCTGTAAGAGCCCAGAGAAGAGGCTGAGAGGTGGCAAGAGGTATAGTGCACATGGCTTGGAGCATCAGTCTGGAGCTCCAGACGACAGATGGCCCAGGACATGTCAGCCCCCGATGAGCATCCTCAGAGGTATTTGGGGGAGGTAGAAAATTTTCTCCCTTCACACTAAGTCAGTTCAGTTTTAAAGAAAGTGATGGCTCTCCTTGGGCTGAAGAATTTGGGAACACTCAGGTACATGTTGGTGCAAGATTATTAGTCATGCCCAATGTCCATTTTTATCTATCTTTTCTCTTGACCCCCAAATTTTAAGAACCCCCAATTTTAAGCTGGCTCATGGCTACATAATATAGAATATTGGCTACACTGCACAGCCTCCCTTGCAGCTAGATGTGGCAATGTGACCAAGCTCGGGCCAGTGGCACACAAACGGAAATAACATAGGTGACATATATATTATAGATTGTTCCCTTCAAATAAAAGAATACACCTTTCCCTTCCCCTCTTTTCCTTCCTATTAACTGGAGGTGAACATAGCAATCGGCTGTCTTGGACCTGGCAAAACAAACACCAGGAATGGCAGAACAACAAGATGGAAGGAGCCTGGGTTCCTCCCAATGTGGAGCCACCAGGTCAACCCACTGCCTCCATCAAGTCTTGTTTGGCCACTGTTTCTTCGGAATTCTGTGTAACTTAAAAATATGTATTCCATTCTGAAAACGGTTAGAGTCTAGGAGGACATAAGTCACCATTTCAGGGAGGATGAGGCCAAACTCTTCTTGGTCATCTCAGTGCGTTACAGTCAACAAATACTTATTAAGGACTCAGCATTGCACAAAACCAACAGACAAAAATCTGGTCCTAACAGGGCTTACATTTAGTATGATTTCACTTGAACTTTATAACCGTCCTGTCAGGGAAACTTACCTGTGCTCCGCAGAGGAGGGAATTAAGACTGAAGGATTTCCAGTAAATCTCCTGAGGTCACATGGCTGGTAATTGGTACCTTCAGAATCCAGTTTTTCCTCATGCCGGAGCCATGCCCTCCCCATAACCCAGCAGTTTCCATACTGCGCCCTGTGTGTGGCCTCCTCAGAGGTTTGTCAGAGATGCCACAGATGGAGGGTTGTGGTGATGAGGGACTGGGGGGAGGTTTTCCCCACGAGCCCAAGGAAGGCCTGGGATTAGCTCAGAGAGAGACCTGAGGAGACCTCCAGGTCAGGGATGAGGGAAAACCAGCTCTTAGGGTGAGTCTGTAGTGCAGAGAAGCCCCCAAAGACAGATGGGGCTGGGGACCGGTGGCCCCCAGGACACACGGGCTCTCCATACGCATGGGGCCCTTAGACTCACATCTCTGGGAATTGCGGAGAGATGCCTCGGCATGCAAACTGAGCTATAAAGACAGTGCTATCTTTTTAAAAAATATATCTGAGTTTCTGTGTGGTGAGTCATCACACACACCGGCACACACACACCAAAGAAAAATGATATGAGACCTTCAACAGAGCTTAGCTGGGACTTTCCACGGGTGATAATATTCTGGGAAATAGTTTACAATGTCCTTCTTGTATTTTTCTGGCTTTTCACCTGTTCCTCAATGAATATTTCATAAACAAGGAAAACACTAACCAAGGGAAGGTTTTGTTTTGTTTTAAGAGACAAAAACTTAGTTGTACCCAGAACTGGATTATTTGAGTAGGTCTGGTAAGCGCATGTTGCCGGAAACACTCAGCTGGTAATTTCCAGTCCGCAAAGAGGGCACTGGAGTTCCCTGCCAACATTGCCCAAGGAAGGGGAGGAGCCCTGTGCAGGGATAAATACACGTTCTCACCCAGGAGGATCCAGCACCTGGACAGGCGGCTTGGACATCCTCTCACTACACCCAGCTCTCCGAGGCAGGTAATCCCTGATGCTGCCCTACTGGGAGCAAAGGAATCCACTTTTCCAGGGTGGTTCTAGGTCTTGACCTAGAGTCATCGTGGGTTGTGCGGAGGGGGGGAGCCAAGAGGAGGTGTGCCAGAGTGCGGGGAGCCAGTCCCGGTGCCCTCTGAGGACCGTCCGCTGTCTGGGTCGGAGTTTTACACCTGCAAACGGGTGGACATACCACGAGGGTGTCTAGGGCCATTTCTGTGCCTGACACTTGGACTCTGCTTTGAGTCAGCCACGTACCCCACGGAGCTACGTATCCACCTACCCTCAGGACAGGGTCTCCCCTCTCCTGGTGCAGGGTGCTGCTCTCCGAGGGGCTGCAGACAGAATTATTGCACTAGGTCCCTCTGGGCAGAGGCCACAGGGACTCAGTGGGGGCTGTCCCTGGGTTCCAGCGCCCCCCCTCACTCCCGCCCCGCCACCTTGTACCCAGCACTCCCACCAGCCAAATGGACCAGCAGGTTGCTGTCCCGCCACCTAAAAGGCTGCTCAGAAATGGAGCCGGCCTGCCAATTTGCTCGAACAGACAAGTCTTTCTCCAGAAGTAATTTTTGGGGAGGAAAAAGGTTTAACTCTTTTCCTAAGAAATGAATGGTTACATAACCCAGAGAGTAAACAATTGAGGCAATTGAACTGCCTCTGCCCCAGGGCTTGTCCAAAGGGGGTTCCACTGCCTCCTGAATGATAATCAGCTCAACTCACAGTCCCCTCTCCTTCCCTCCCCTCCTCACCGCCCTATTGGCCTCTGGACTCGGGAGCTGAGTGAGTGGAGGCTGAAGCTAAATAACCCTGTTTGCTTCAGTCCCGAGCTTTGCACCCACCTCGCTCTGCTCCTCCGCGGCTTCATTCTCTCCTCCCGTGGAATCGTAGCTCTGGCCCGTGGTTTCCCAGTGAGCCTGTGGGAGGTGATAACATCCCTTGAGCACCTCTCAGGCAGGAGCCAGGCCCCTTGTCCTCCTGAGCTTCTCAGCCTATTGATTGACACGGGAATTGAGGCTCAGAGAGGTTCAGTCACTTGCTCATCACCACCCAGCCATCACAAGTGGCCAAAATGAAATCCTGGACCTCCAAAATGAAGTCCAGGCCTCTGTGATGCTGAAGCCCACACTGCTTTCTCCCCACCAGGATTCCTTTCCAGGCATTTGGTAGAAAAGGGAGAAAAAAATTACCTGCTATCAACTAGGCAGAGGCTGAAAAGAATGTGCTTCCTTTTTGGGGCCTTGGCACCGACCCTCCCCAGGGCCACCTCGCTGCAGCTTGGCCTTCCAAGCCCTCTCTAAAGGAGCCCTCACTGCGGCCAGCCACCACGCAGGGAGCACCTGCCCACAGCTTGTCGTCGAAAGCCCAGCACGGGGCTGTGGCCCAGGGCTCCTTCCCGGGGTTCTACTTAGGGGGTGGACCAGAGACATACAGGAAGAGGAGCCTGACGTTCTTGTTCCCTCTGACTGGTGTCTGCTCGCCAAGCAGGAGTGAAGGGTGCATTCTGACCAGCAGCAATTCACACCCATCGCTAGCTTCCCCACCGGAACCTGGCAAACCAAGCTGCTCACCTCCGCTCTGCCACTTGCTTGCTGTGTGACCCTGGGTGGGCCCCTTCATCTCTCTGTGCCCAGTTTCTCCGCTGGAAGAAAATAGCAATAATTACAGTACTTGCCTTAAAAAGTGAGAAGGAGTACAGAGCATGATTATGTGTGTTGGGTGCCTGGGAGATAGCCGATGCCTGGGAGGTCACGGCCACGAAGCTTGCAGGGGCACGGAGCAGAAAGCAGGCTGTGTGGGGCAGTGGGAGGCGGTCAGAGTACCACCTGGCCCTCTGAGACTTAAAGGAGCTTTGTTTTTCAGAGTCAAGGGCAAAAGAGATGTCATTCCTTCTGGCTCTGGGGCTGCTGGTGGCTGGGCTCTGCCCCACTGTCCATGGCCTCCCGGGGGGCGTGCCAGACCGTACGAATGTGACCCAGGAGGGCCAACATAAGGAGACGCCTGTGGACCTCCTCAGATTTGCCTCCAGCAACACTGACTTTGCCTTCAGCCTCTACAGGCAGTTGGCTTTGAAGGACCCCACTAAGAATGTCGTCTTTTCCCCGATGAGCATCTCCATGGCCTTGGCCTTCCTCTCCCTGGGGGCCCGTGATACCACCCTGACAGAGATCCTCAGAGGCCTCAAGTTCAACCTCACGGAGACCTCTGAGACAGAGATCCACCAGGGCTTCCAGCACCTCCTGCATGCCCTCAGCCAAGCCAGCAACCAGCTGCATCTGAGTGTGGGCAATGCCATGTTCGTCCATGAGAAGCTGGAGCTGCTGGACAAGTTCAGGAATGATGCCAACGCGCTGTACGCCTCTGAGGCTTTCTCCACCAACTTCCAGGACACTGTCGCTGCCAAGAAGCTCATCAATGACTATGTGGAAAAGAAGACCCAGGGGAAAATTGTGGGTTTGATCAAGAGCCTTCAGGCAAGAACAGTGATGATCCTTGTGAACTACATCTTCTTTAGAGGTGGGTGCTGGCCTGGGGTTCGGAAGGAAACAGACTTTGTTTCTGAGCTGTCAGGGCTGTTGCGGTCCAGGCTCAGTGACCTGCGTTGTTAGGGAGACTGCTATTGAGGAGGGTGCCCTTGGCTTGTGTGTGTGGCCAGGGGCACCGTGGCCCCATCTTCTCCTGGGGTTTCCCACATCAGCTGCTCATTCCAGGACATAACTGTGGGGGAGCCCATTAACGCTTCATCTGAGCCAGGGTGGTACCTTTTATTCTGACTTAAACGTGTCCCTTCCAAATTGCTCCTGGGTGGATTTAGATGGCACAGGGGATCCCTGCAGGACTGGTGGCCATCTCCATAGGAAGATAGCCTCTAAGGAGTCAGGCCATGCCTGGTTCTGCGACTGTGCTGTCCTATAATCTTAAGGGTGGACATGGTGTGGCCACCAGCTGGGACGAGCCTTGGGGAGGGCACTATCCAAGACAGGACCCCTTCCCAGTGGGCCGCGTGACCAATCCCTTATAAGGGTTTGCGAGAAGTGCGAACCTCGTGTCCCAGAAGTTTCGAAGGGGCGGAGTGTGAGCAGAGAGATTCTGTCTTCTGGAGCCAACAGTCCCTATGGGGACAAAAGCTTGACAGGACGCAGAGCGCGATCACTGAGCCAGAGGGCGGTGAGGTACCTGACACACCTGAGCTGTAGAGAGCCACCAAGAGAGTCACCGAGAAAGCCCTGTGCCAGGAGCTCCTGGCCGAGGCCCGGGCAAGCCGTCCGGGGCCCGTTTTCATCTGCTCATGAGGACGTGGAAGCGAGCTTCTCTGTGAAACTGAGCCAGGCTTGGCGTGTTGCGTTCGGTCTTTGAGTTTCCTGTGCTTTTCCTTCCTGCCACCCTGCCCAACCCTGGGACTCTCTCCTCCAAATTCTCCTACCCAGGGACATGCCAGCTGATCCATCTTCTCCCTCCTTTCCTGCCTCTAACAAAGGGGACATGGGGACATGCAGGGGTGGAAAACAAAGGGGACCGTAGAAGTGGCCACACATTTCCAAGGAAGCCCCAGATCTCTGTTTGGGGATAATCTCCTCAGGAAGCTCCACCCACCTGGGGGGTGGGGGGCAGACCGGGGCTCCTGTCCTCAGGTGAACTTGGCCTAGCCCTCTGGGTTCCCAGTGTGCCGATGCCTCTGTCTGTTTTGCAAGCTCCAGGCACATGTGCCATCTTGCAGTGCCGGTGATGAACAATTGGTGTGGCTTTGTAAGTGGTCAGGGGTCCCCATCTCTTCCCAGGCCCAGGCTGCCACAGTGTCACTGTGCCCCTCCCCACTTCCTGTGGCCCAGGTTCTCGGCGGCCTTTCCTGTGCCCAGATCCCTGTGGGTTTCTCGCTGAGCACGATTAACCAGGCCTTCGGTTCACGGCCCCCTTCCTGACCCTCACCCGTGCGGCTTCTCCACCTGTCCAGGTGTTTTTGCAAACCATCCCTAAGAGGAGCTGTGGCCCGGCTGTTGGGGGGCGGACTGTCCTCCCTGCCCAGGCCACCAGAGCAGTGAAGGTGCGGAGGCAGGGCAGCAGCCCTTGCATTTGCTGAGTTCTCCCACTGCTCCCTCTGCCTCTAGCCAAGTGGATGACACCCTTTGACCCCAACGACACTGCCGAGTCCAAGTTCTACCTGAGTAAGAGGAAGTCGGTGAAGGTGCCCATGATGAGTCTGGAGGGCCTGCGCACGCCCTACTTCCGGGACGAGGAGCTGGCCTGCACGGTGGTGGAGCTGCGGTACACCAGCAATGACAGCATGCTCCTCATCCTCCCGGACCAGGGCAAGATGAAGGAGGTGGAAGCCGCGCTGCTCCCGGAGACGCTGACGAGGTGGAGGGGTTCGCTGCAGACGAGGTGCCTACCCGGGACCCAGGGCCGTCGGCCGTGCCCACTCTTCCCCAGCTCCCTGTCCCCTCTCCACTCAGGCCTCGCCGAGGTCCAGGGTGGGTGTGCAATGGTGGGACAGGCGTCGGGTGGGATTGCCTCGCCCTTTGCTGCCTGTGCGGCTTTGGGCCTGGTCTGTTTTTCTTCTGTAAGATGATAACACTGGGTGGGGCAGGGGCTGAGGCTTCCTCAGACTGGAACATACTCTCTCTAAGTCCCAGGGGGCCTCAACCCAGCCCCCAACATTCCCATGAGTTCTGTCCTTGTCTCAGCCTTCTGGGGGCCGAGGGGGCGGGCTGAAGTGTGATCGGTCAAGGGCAGGTATGAGACAGGCTCTAAGAGGCAGCTTTGCACTGGCTATTACAGTCATTCATTCATTCATCCATTCAGCATTTGTGGAATGGTTAAACAAGCACCTACTGTGTGCCATGCACTACTTTAGAGCCTGAGGGTATATCAGCAAATAAAACACAAAATCCCATGGCCTCGTGGAGCTGGCCTTATAGTCGGGGGAGAGACATTAGATAAACATAATAAGTAAATTATTTGGTGTGTCAAAGGGTAAGAAATGAGAATGAGAAATAGTAGGTTTAAGGTAAAGGGGTTAAGAAAACTGGACTGGAAGGTAGTTTGTGATTTTAAATTTTAGGTAAAATTTGAGTATCAACATGACAGAGGTGAGGCACTCAGCCATGCGGATATGTTGGGGAAAAGCATTCCAGGCAGAGGGAACAGCCAGTGCGCAGCCTCCAGGTTGGGAACAAGGTTCAAGGATCAGACAGCCCTGAGTGGCTGGAGCAGAGTTAGTGACAGAGAGTGTTGGTAGATCAGGTCCCTGCTCCCACGGGACTCAGAGTTTAACGTAAGACATAGTGTCCTCGTATTTGGCAGCTGTGAAGATGACACTCGCCATGACAAAAGTCTTAGAGACATAGAAACAATGAGAGAGGGAACCTCAGAGGCTGGAGTGATCACCTCTGGCCCCAAGAACCTCCGGTAGCTCCGCTCAGAAGCAGAAGCAGCCCCTGCTCTCAAGGAGCTCACTGGGGAGGCAAGACGGGGGCCTTCAGTTACTTTGGGCTCTCCAAAGCCCTTCGAATTTGGACCCCAGGCCCTCATGCCCTTCTCCTGGCCCCTGCCTGACCCCTCACTCTGCCCTCTGCAGCCTCCGTGTCATGAAGGATTCCCATTTTCTTCCCCTGTAAGTTCACGAATCTGCCTCCTGCCCTCCTTTCACCCAGCTAGCTCTATCTCCTCCTTTGGGACCCAGGATTGCTGTCACCTCCTGCAGGAAGCCTTCCCGGTGCCCACGGAGCCAGCTGCTGCAGCACAGTCACCCAGCACAATATGAGATCTCTGCTGGGTGACTGTGAGTCCCACTACACTGCACACTTGCAGGGGGGGGGCGAGGGCCAGGTGCATGCCCCGCCCCGGCCCCAGCTCCAGCCCCAGCTCCGGCATACAGCCAGGCACTGCCGACTCGAGTGGATAATAACGAATTAAGAAGAATAAGCACAGGGTCAAGAGAGGAAGGAAAGAAGCACTTATTTCCAGCAAGAAGGGGGTGGTTGGAGAGAAACCAGGGAAGAGTACACTGTGAGGTGAGAGGCAGGTGGGCGCCGGGAAAGCAGATGTTCGAATTCATTTTCCCCATTTTCTAGATCGATAGACATCTTCCTGCCAAAGTTTTCCGTCTCCAGCAACTACAATCTGAAAGACGTACTTTCTCAGCTGGGCATGAGGCAAGTCTTCACCACAGAGGCTGACCTGTCAGGGGTCACAGGGACCAAGGGCCTGATGGTCACTCAGGTGAGCCTTCACAGTTTGGACAACTCGCCCTCCGTGTGGGAGTGGGATGCGAGGGCCAGGCAGCGTCTGGGGAGCCTCGACTTTGCATATGGAAATGCATTTCTCATTAGCCAGTCTCCCACCCTGGGGCTTGGTGGAGCCCCCCTGAGCACTGGGTTATAACAGCACTGGGGGCTGGTCCCCGCAGCCCTCCAGAGTCAAGTGACAGAAGCTGGTCAAGGGAAGAGCCCGCAGTGGATCCCATCCTGGACTCTGCCTTTTGCTGCCTCTGGGGCAAATAGTTAAAGTCCTCTTCCCCTTGGTCTTTTTATCGGTAACAAGGGGTGGTAAGTCTTGGCCCGTGGGCAGTGCCCAGCAGAGCAGGTAAGAGGCCGCAGGCAGCAACAATGGCTATAGGGCAACTGCGATGGAGACACACTACGCAAAGCGGGGGAGACTGGGCACCCCTGCACTGTGTTCCTAGAAGCAGAGCAGTCAAAGGAAAGGGGAGGGGCCAGGCAGCCCTCCACTCTCCTCTGCCCCCACCTTCCAAAGGGCGTGGCCATGGAAGGACGTGGGTGGGAGTGGGGGTGGGGAGCTGTGTGGCCCAAGGTTGTGAAGCTGCATTCTATGCAAAGTAGCCAAAGGCCCTGAGGACATTTGAGCTGGGGCAGAAGAGGGGCAGAAAGCAGAGCCAGCCCCACTCTCTGCCCTCTCCCCATGCAGTCTGGGTGGAGGGGCTGCTGGAAAGTTGCTTGCAGGGAAAATGCCTTACATCACCCTTGTCCCTCCCTGCTAAAGAGGCGGTGTTTGGGAGGGGGCAGCACGGCCTCTGGGCTCAGAGGGGAGCCCAGGTCAGGGTGCCCCTAGTCTTTACTCTGGGCATGTCGCTCTCAGCCGCAAGCCTCAATTTGCACACCTGCACAGCAGAACTGTGCAAAACTAGCTGGCAGGGTTGTTGGGAGGGACGGACACACTCAACAAGGTGACACCGGCATGGTGACAGGTCAGAGGTAGGTGCTCGGTGAGTGTCCGTCCCCGCAGAGGTGGCAAGCAGGCTGCTTCTCTCCTGCTTCCCCTGCCGCTGGTGGGTAACGCCCTGCTGTTCTCACAGGTGGTCCACAGGACCCTGATCGACGTGGCCGAGAACGGCACGGAAGCAGCTGCAGCCACAGCCATTGGTCTTGCCCTCCTGTCCCTTAGAATCCCAGATATCAGAGTGGAATTCAACAGGCCCTTCCTGTTAGCCATACTTTCCAAGGACACCCAGAACGTCCTCTTTTTCGCCAAAGTCGTTAACCCCAAGGAAGCCTAGTGCTCCTCTCCAGGTGGAGGGGCATTCCCTCTGAGGGCGCCCGGGGCTCTGGGTACAGCCTGGCCCTGCTCACTCATTCTCGAGAAGGTGCCAGTGACTCTGCCTGGTGGCTCCTACACGCAAGGGAAGTCTGTGGACTCTTCATCTGGGGACTCTGAGACTTTCCGGTGGCAATAAACCATCTTCTTTGGACTGGGTGTGCTCCTTGTGCCTTTCTGCCCTGATCTGCCAGCTGCCCATGCGCAGGACCGAGCCCCCAGACCTCCCTCCTGGGCTCGGCCCCCCGGCCCAGGCCTTCACCTTCAGCAGCCTGGCCAGGACCCAGAGGGGGACCTGCTGTGCAATTCCTACTTCTGTGGGCTCTCTGGTCCCCAGTTCCAGTGTCGCGCTTTCCCTCCCTCAGGATCTGACGATGTGCTGACATTTGCAGGGGCTCCCCACCCCCACCACAGCTGGCACGGGCCCTGGACCCCATGCTCCTGCAGCCGAGCTGGGCCTTCTGTCTTTGAGGATGTCCCCCTTCTGCCCTCCCGGCACCGCCCAGCCTGGGAAGAGTGGCTGTTTTCTAGGTTCCCAGTTCTGAGTGCTCCCCCTGACACAGAGTCCCCCCAGCAACCAGAGTGAGGGCGTGGGAACAAATGAGCAGGAAACACGCACCTGCTTAAAAGCGATCACGCAGTCGCTCACAGCTCTGACGTGGTCTGAAACTGTGTGATCTCTGGGGGTCACACCAGCACCAGCAAAGACATTAACAGGGATGAATGCACAGTTGAGATCTTCCTGCCAGGCAAGCTGCTGAGACCTCTACCCCGAATAACTCCTTTAGTCCTTGTGACGACCCTGTGAGAGAGGTGCTATATTATCAGTCTCATTTAATGGATGAGGAAGCTGCAGAACACAGGCTCGGTGACTCCCCCACCCAAGGCCACACAGCCAGTAGTTCTTGCCGGCAGGATGTTCTCCCAACATGCTTGATGTCTCTGGAACACGCTAAACCACAGAGCGATTCTGCCCTTAAAGATTATCACAGCGACAGCCCTCGTGGGACTTACGACCTGATGGGCAAGATATTATGGAAAAAAACCCTTGAGGCTGAGATTCAGACAGCACCAAACTCAGCTGGGGAAGCCAGGAAAGGCTTCCTGGAGGAGATGACTTCTGTCCTACAATCAGAGGAAGAGTAGATGATGGTTAAGGCAACAGAGAGGAGAAGGTTCTGGGCAGGAGAAAGAGTGATGGGGGCATTTTCTCTTTTTTAATAATTTTTTTAAAAGATGTTTTAAATTTATTTTTAGAGAGGAAAAGGGAGGGAGAAAGAAAGTGTGTTTGCCTCTCATGTGCCCTCCTACTGGGGACCTGATCTACAACCCAGGCATGTGCCCTGGCTGGAAATCAAACCAGCGACCCTTTGGTTTTCAGGCCTGTGTTCAATCCACTGAGCCACACCAGCCAAGGCTGATGGGGGCATTTTCAAGAAAGCAGAAGAAGTTGGGCAGTTCCGGAGCAAGGACAGATGGTGAGGCTGAGGAGAGGAAGGGCCGGGAGGGGGCCTCTGGACCTCAGGGCCGGTCAGCTCAGAAAGGGCTCCGGTGTGGTCCCTCAGAGCCACAGGTAGCCTGGAGGGAGTTTAAACAGAGAGTCGCTCCGAGCTGACTTGCACACTAGAAAAATGACTCTGGCTGGTATGGAAGTGACTCGGGGCCCGGGACAAAAACGTGGGCTGCGCATTCGAGGCGCTGTTGCAAGAACCGAGGCAAGAGCAGGTCCCAGCTGGAGAGGGAGAGACGGGATGATCGGAAGGGTGTGAGGAGAGCCAGTGTGGCTCGTGGGTGCTCGTGGGAAGAAAGCAGAAAAACCCACGTTCAGGTCAGGCTCCTGGTGGTGACAAAGGGTTCCCTGAGATAAGACACCAGGAGGAGCAGCTGGCACATTCAGATTTGGACACACGCAGAACCCTACGGTTGCCAGGAGACAGCCACAGGGTTCACGGAGTGCAGGAGAAGAAGATTTGGGCTGTGGGGGGCAGTCGGGACTCACGCCCCCGGGATGGGCAGGTGAGCAGTGAGGGGGAGGAGGGCCCCTAAAATGAGTTTCATGGGGTGTGAGAAGGGCAACGCTCCACTGAGGGGTTGTCCAAGGAAGGGCCGCTCACTGAGGAGGGCAGGGGGGACCAGCAGGGAGGTGTCACCCCAGGACGAGGAGGAGAGTAACCAGGGGACAGGGACGGGACTTCGGGGTAAAGTGGTGAATGAATGGGTCCATGGGGTGCAGTGGTGGCTCAGTGTCGTGGTACTGTGTTGCAGTCCCCCTTATTTGACTTCGTAGTGGCCCCCAAGTGTAAGGGCGCTCGCTATGCGGGCCATGTGTATAGGCCCCAGAGAATCCATCAAGTCCTTCCTTTAGGTGAAAAGGTGAAAGTTCTCAACTTGAGAAGAAAGAAAATGATATATACGCCGACGATGCTGAAATCTACAGTAAGAGCAGATCTTCTACCCGTGACCTCACAGTCACGCCTCCAACAGCAGACGCCTCTCCTCGCACAGGCCCTGGCGGGCTACCTCATCGTGGGAGGCGGGCAGGGCGCGGACCGGACAGCAGGGTGGTCTGACAGAGAGACCTCGGTCACCCGACTTTTCTTAGGGTGTGTTATTACATGCGCTCTGTTTTATTCTGGGTCATTGTGATTGAGCTTTTATTTTAATTTGTAAATTAAACTTCATCCTGTGTCTGGATGTATAAGAGAAAGCACAGCCTAGGGGTCAGTACCCTCCATGGCTCAGGCACCCACTGGGGCCCCTGGAGCACACCCCCGTGGCGGGGGGGGGCAGCTGCAGTGACTAAGTGCCACGTGTGGCCACGGTCTGCATCCTAACTCGGGCAAACCAACTGTAAAAAAAATAGGAAACTCAATTAGGGAAACAATGGCTTGAAATTCGATGATAGTAATGAATTGTGGGTGTTTAAAGGAGTGATACATACTGTCTTGGAGAGGATTTTTACACATTCTTACAGATAAAATGTTGAAGATTGGCTTTAAAACAATCCAAAGGGGACAGGAAATACGTGGAGGAAATGATGTCCTCATGTTGCTATTAACTGCTGATGAGGCAGAAGGTTCGTTACAGCATTCTTTCTACTGTTGCGTATGTTTGAATTCTTCCGTAATCCAAATTTGAAACAAAGAAAATCCTTGAGGGCAGGATTGTGCCTTATTCCCCAGCATGCACTGGGAGCTCCATAGTGAGCGATGAATGAAAAGACCCCGTTGTAACTCCCTTGAGCAACTATCAAGACAGAGAATTGAAAATCCCCAGATAACAAACAAGAAGGGACTGCGTCCAGGCAGCAGATGAGGAGAATAAAAATAAAGCAACAATAAACAAATCTGGGAGAAAACGGGGCCTGGCTCATACCCAGGAGCCCGCAGAAGCCCTGTCGGGGCGCTCAGTCCACAGGTCACCTTTGCACCTTCCCTGCCACCAAGCCAGCTTGGGACAGAGATTGTATCCGAGCTGTGACAGTTTCGCAAGCTCTCTTGCTGGTGAGTACATATGGACTTTGTTGCTTATGCTGCAATGAGTGGCGAGGTCTATTGATGTTCCCGAAGTCACGACAACTTGGAAAACACTGTAAGCAGACTGAGCAGCAAGCACGTTTTAGAGAATCACAGCCCACATTCGGGGAGGCAAGAACTGTGACTTGGGCTGTGTCCTGTGCCACACACAGCTTCGGGAGGAAGTAGGTATCCGTAGGTACGTGTCAGATGACCACATGAAACCAAAGAGTCTGGTGCACAGCCCCAAGGGACTCAGTCTCTCCTCATATCTACAGACTGTCCACATGCATCACTGGATTTAACCTTCATGGTGACCTTGAGTGGGAAGGGGGGCAAAGAGCAATCCGAGACTCAGGAGACCATCATGCTGCAAATAGGAGTGGAACTGAGACTCAGCCCCAGGACTGGGATCCCCCCGTACCCCCCAACCCCGTGCACCAGAGCTCTTCCCTGTGCACAGGCTTCCACACAAGCGAGCAAAGGGGCAGGTCGTTCTCCTTGCTGTTGGCTGAGCTGAGCACTGATTTTGGGCCAAGGGCGGCCTCCGTATAGCCAATCGTTTAGTCCCAAAAGTCCAGCCCGTCCCCATCCTCCCCACAGGGACAGATGTTTGTGCCCAGGGCCATGCAGGCCTGCTGAATCTCTCCAGCTCCTTTGAAGGTTCACAGAAAACATTTGATTTCAGGTGAGTGTGGGGCTGTGGGTTCGGCTGGAGTCAGGGGCCCCCAGCCAGCTTGGTGAATCTGCCCACGTTATCCCATCCCAAGTCACATGTGTGCACACACACAGGGGCAGGCACCCATGTACACTTAGGTGCACCCCTCCTGCTCCAAGAGCTTCACCTGCAGACAATAGTCTGGAGCTGTGCTGGCTCGCCTTGCCTCCACGACCTTGAGCCTGCTCTCCCCTCTGCTGAGCCCCTTTTCCTGCTTCTCTCCTGATCCATCTCCCAGTCCCAGGTCGGGGGCTGCCTCCTCCAGAGAGCCCTCCAGGAACGTCCTGCCTCCTGCAGGCTCCCTGTTCACCCTGCATAGGCAGCCCTTCTGACTGTCATTATTTGGGGGACTGCAATCAGCAATCTGCTTTTCTGTCCCTCCCAATGGCTGGCGAGCATCTTCCAGCCGGGGCCCAGGCTGCCATCCCTCATGTCCTCCTGACCCTGTTGAATGAGCCAGCACACGACAGAACACGCTTCTCTCTGGGCCTCAGTTTTCCCGTCTGCACAATGCTTGCATTGGGTCATGACCTCTTCTCAGCTTGAAAGCTCTGTGGTTTGGGGGACCTGCTCACATACCAGCCTGCACGAATTTTGTGTGCCTGCCCCCAGCAAACCCCAGTTCCCTGGGGGAGCGACTGTGTCTCATCCATCCTGCATCCCCAGCATGTAGCTCAAGTCCCGACGGACTTACAGTCGATGTTTGTTCAGTGAATGAATGAATGAATGTTAAATGGAATAAGGGAATGAACTCTTCATCAAATTTTCATCAAAGCCAAGGTATTCTCCAAAGCAAATTACTGGGCAAATGGACAAATGGAGAACTGTCTCTTCTCTGCTGATAAATAAACAATACGAAACAAACCTTTTACCCATGAGGTGTTTCTCAAGGCCAAGTTTCAGTTATTCCTCCCCTCTGACAGATGAAAAAACTAAAGTTTAGAAAGGCCCAGGACTGCCCAAGGTCATGTGGAAAATTCAGAAGCAGGATAGGGCAGTGGGATGATGACTAATTCTGTTAATAATTGCCCAAACCCAGAGTGGACAAACAGGGTCAGACCAGGCCCTCGCTAAAATAAATCCTAGGGTCGATGGGTCTGCTGAGTCAGAATCACTAGAGGGGGGTCTCAGGTTCTCTGGGGTAATAATATCCACTGCTTCCGGGGGCCCGGCCTGCTCCTGGCCCTGGGCAGGGTCAGCTCGGGGCATGAGCGCTTTGACTTTCTAAGACCCTGGGACATGGGGTTCTTAGCATCATCCTGCAGAGAGAAAGCGGAGGCCCAGAGGGGTCAAGTCACTTGACCAGTGGCTCTGTCTCTGGGCTCCTACGTCACAGCGGAGCCTGAGCCGAGCCCAGGTCTCTAGGACTCCTCTAGGCACCGAGAGGGGCCTGCTGACCTATCCCTTCTCGGGGGCTCTCTGCAAGTCTGAGAGCACCCCCATGTCACATCCTGGGGTGGGCCAGAGCCAGGATTTGAAGGAGGGGTCAGCTGGAGGAGGGGCTCTGAGAGTGTCCCATGAGACCCCTTCTCTGTGTGCAAGCCGGAAGGAGGTGCTGGGAGAGAGGGGACCCCAGGGGACCGCCCCACCCAGGGCAGAGGGTGTCTTCCGAAGCCACAGAAGCAGCTGGAGGAGATTCAGCCAACTGGAGACCTGTGACGACTCAGGATTGCTGCCCCTGGGGACAGCCAGCGCCCGCGTCTGCCCTTTGGGGCCGGGGCGCTCCCAGCGGGGGTGCAGGGTGTGAGCGCATCTGCTCAGACAGGGTGTCCTCTCGGGTGCTCCTCTCATCTCCTCGTGAACCCACCTCTCGCAGGCTCGGGGTTCAAGTCCTCACTCCACCACCTGCCATCATTCCACCTTGGGTGAATCCCTTACCCTTTCCAGGCCTCTGTTTTCTTACCTGTCCAATGGGGCTGTCAACACAGTGCCTCCCGCATTGGGCTGTGGTGAGGATGCGAGAGGACACGCCGGGGAAGTATTTGCATGGTGCCCGGCACGGGGCGGACACTGTGTGACTGTCAGTGATCGTGATCGCAGCGCTCGCTGCTGTCCCCTGTGCACCTGTTTCCAGACCGAGGACACCGGAGGATGGAGGCCCCTCGGTGGTGGCTGCTGGTCCCTGTGCTCGTGGCTGTGGGCCGTTGTCTGGCACTGGTTGGCCAAGAAGATTCCGATCCCGTCGACACTGACCCCCGTGATGTCCCTCCGAGGCCGGCCCTGCCCTGCCACAAGATATCCGTGAGCAACATTGACTTTGCCTTCAACCTCTACAGACAGCTGGCTTTGAAGGCCCCTGGAGAGAACATCCTCTTCTCCCCAGCGAGCATCTCCTCAGCCTTGGCCACGCTGTTCCTCGGGGCCCCTGCGGTCAGCAGGGTCCAGCTCCTGGAGAGCCTGGGGCTCAACCTCACCATGGTGCCCGAGGCCGAGATCCAGGAGGCCTTCCAGGACCTGCTGCTTCGGCTCCCTGTGCAGGACCCCCAGCTCCTCGTGACTGTGGGCCAGCACAGTTTCCATGGCCTGGGTCCCGGGGCTGGGCGGGACCCAGTGGAGGCCCAGAAATGCATCCATGAGTATGTAGAGAAGCAGACCCAGGGGAAGCTTGGGGCCTGGGTGGAGGAACTTGGGAATGAAACTGCAGCCGTCCTCGTGAATCACGTGCTCCTCAGAGGTAAGATGGTGTACATCCAACGTGAAATCCCCTTCTGGGGAGTGGGTTCCGGTCACACCGCAGCCCTGCTCCTTACAGCATCCAGAAAACCTCCCCTGATGACTTCAATATAGGAGGGCCACCGAATCCTTGGCATTTTTTGCTTGAATGCCTCCAGTGACAGAGAACTCATCACCTTTCCCATTCTAATGCTACTTATTGGGGTTTTTTTTTTTAAAGAATTCTTCCAACTTCAGTGTGCATAAGCACTCCTCGAAGAACTTGTTTAAAATGCAGGTGTCCTGCACTGATCCCCAAAAGATTCTGATTTAAGGGGTACGTAAGTCAGGGACCCAAGACCCTGCATTTGAAGCAGCCCTCTTCCTCCCCCCAAGGATTATTCTGCTGCAGGAGGCCCTGATCCCCACTTCGAGTAACCTCGAAAGCCACCCAGTCGAGGAGCGTGAGTGCCCTTCTTCCGGCAGATCCCGGAAGGCATGGGTTACAGCAGGGAGAACCCCAAGGCAGGGAGACCCTTTATTTTTTCCGAAACAGCCAGTAAGGGCACATGTCTGAGTCTGCAGACGCATTCTGTCCTTCCCGCACTGTGCGGTGCTTTGCGGGTCTCTGGGGGTGTTCGCGCTCCCAACTCACGCAACGTCTTCCCGTGGAGGTCACATACAGAGCTCAAATTAACGTTTCCACTTCACGGGTGAGGACACAGGTTTTTAAAAAGAAATGATTTGCCTGAGCCACTAAGGCATTCCTCAAATACACGCCTATGAGTACTCACCGTATGTTTTCTGTAAGAGTGTTTGCACACACGCACACACACAATCGAAGTGTAAAGTCCCTATTATCATGCTGGTCACTGTGCCTATTTATTTAATTTTTTATTGAATTCTCCTTGAGACCGAACAAGGTGGTTATTATTGTGTCCACTTGAGAGACGGGAAAGCTGAGGCACAGTGTGCAAGCTGAGGCACTTGCCTTAGACCAGCAAGCGGGGCGGAGCCTCGCCCTCAGATCCGCATGTTTTCAGAGTAGCCTGTACCACGTGATACGTTGTTTCCCTTTAAAATTCGCCACCTGCGAAAGAGACCAAGGAGACCAGAGGGTGAAACAGTGTTTACACTAGCATAACAGTATCGCGTCAGGGTGACGGTGCTTAGCCCCATTTTACACATGGAAGACGGAAGCTCAGGTGGCCCAGGGTTGGGGCCCCAGGGTCACCCACGTAATACAGGACAAGACGAGAGGGAGTTATGAGGCCGAGTGTGGCGCCCATGCTGTGGACTCCCCACTCCCACAGGCTGCCATGTGCGTGACCCCCGAGCCCATTCTCAGTTCTCTCCAAGGTGACATCGGCTTCTCTCTCCCCTCACTCAGCTGGGTGGGCGACACCCTTCGACCTGCAGGCCACCCGCCCCAAGGAGTTCTTTGTGGATGAGCACAGGGCCGTGCCGGTGCCCATGATGCGGCAGAAGGCCCGCCACCGCTTCCTCCACGACCCGGAGCTGCAGTGCACTGTGCTGCAGATGGACCACGCCGGGGACGCCAGCACCTTCTTTGTCTTCCCCAGGCGGGGCGCGCTGGGGCAGCTGGAAGACGCCCTGCTGCCTGAAACCCTCATCAAGTGGGACAGTTTGCTCAGGACAAGGTAGACGGCTCACAGCGGGGGCTGGGGAGACGGGTCCCTGCCGCCTGGTTCAGTCACCACGCAGCGCCCTCAGTCACTGTCACCCCAGGGCACTGTCGGCCCCAGGGCACTGGCCCTGGCCTCCCTGCAGGGATCGGGGTGCGGCCTGGTCAGGGACACTGGACCAGAAGTTGGGGGGCTGGTTCTAGTCCCAGCTCTGGTGCCAGCTGCATGACCCCGTGATAGGCAGAGTTAAACAGTGGGGGACAGCATGCCCTTTAACAAAGCTGTCTGTCTCTCTCTGAGAGGAGGGGCTCCAGGGGCAGAGAGACCAGAGGTGGGAGTGGGGATGGGGGTGAGGAGGCCGCAGGCCTGTGGCTGGTTGAGGGAGGAGGCCGGAGCGGCTGAGGTCCTTCCACCCTTCTGGGGTTTCAACAGCAAACCCATTCTCTCTCCACAGGGAACTCGATTTCCATTTCCCCAAATTTTCCATTTCCAGCACCTCCAGACTGGAGCTGCTCCTCCCACGACAGACGGTGGGAGGAGGCCTCCCCGGGCAGCCTGCACTGAACATCTCTAGGGTAAGCTGGGAATCGGGTCCCGGGTGCTGGCAGGCTCTCCAGGTCTTTGGGCCACTGCTGGGGGAACACATCCAGTATCTTCTTACACACGGGTGTTGCTGTTTCTGTAACTTTTCAGGTTGCCATGTGTTCTCTGCATTTATTCCATATTATTGCACACCTACCACCCAAGACATGGGGGCCTCACGGGAGTAAGTCCCCATTCCCACCCTCAGGCGACAGACAAGGGCGGGGAAGGCAGGGATGGATACGCAGAGGAAGCTCCCCGGAGGGCACTCCTGCTCGTGGGCCTTGGACAAGCTGAGTCGAGGGACTGAGAGGGGAGCATGGGGCCAGCCTGAGGGGGAGGAGACGCTAGTGCCATGGAAACTGAGAGTCCCTCCTCTGGGTGGAGCAGAGGACCTAGAGGGCCCAGAAGCCATGCTGGCGCCCTTGAACTCTATCTTGAGGTCAAAAGGGATGGACTCAGAGGTTTTAAGCATGACCATACTTGTGCTCTAGAAGGATTTAGAAAGATCTGTGGAAGGGCACAGGTCAGCTTGGCCCAAAGTACCGAGAACAGAAGGCAATGTTCAGGGCTGGGAGCCCCCGGGGAGAACCACAGGAGGAGGAAGTGGGAAGGAGAGCTTAGGGCTCACAGCACCGCCGGCCTCACCTCCACGCCACCTGTGCCAGGCCTCACTGGGCACTGCTCTGGGCCCGGCACCATGCCTGCATCTCACAGCACGTTGGTGAGGTGCATGCTGTCATTCCCATTTCACAGATGGGGCAACTGAGGCTGAGAGAGGCTAAGAAAACCACCCCAGGTCACGACTGCTAGTTAACGTCCAGCCAGCACTTGAGCCAACTGAAGTCATTTAACATCAAAGGCCTACACCCTTTTTCTTTCTTTTGTCCTTAAAATTTTTTTAAATATATTTTATTGATTATGCTATTACAATTATTCCTCCCCCCCCTTTATTCCCCTCCACCCTGTACACCGCTTCCCACCCTCATTCCCCTCCTTTAGTCCACGCCCATGGGTTGTACATATAAGTTCTTTGGCTTCTCCATTTCCTATAGTATTCTTAACCTCCCCTTGTCTATTTTCTACCTACCATTTATGCTACTTATTCTCTGTACCCTCTCCCCCCTCTCCTCTTCCAACTCCGCTGCTGCTAACCCTCCATGTGATCTCCATTTCTGTGATTATGTTCCTGTTCTAGTTGTTCGCTTAGTTTGTTTTTGTTTTGTTTTGCTTTTTAGGTTTGGTTGTTAATAATTGTGAGTTTGTTGTCAGTTTACTGCTCATATTTTTTATTACCTTCTTTTCCTTATGGAAGTCCCTTTAACATGTCATATGATAAGAGCTTGGTGATGATGAACTCCTTAAACTCGACCTTGTCTGAGAAGCACTTTATCTGCCCTTCCATTCTAAATGAAAGCTTTGCTGGACAGAGCAATCTTGGATGTAGGTCTTTGCCTTTCATGGCTTGGAATACCTCTTTCCAGCCCCTTCTTGCCTGTAAGGTCTCTTTTGAGAAATTAGCTGGTAGTCTAAATGGGCACTCCTTTGTAGGTCACTGTTTCCTTTTCTCTTGCTGCTTTTAAGATTCTCTCCTAATCTTTAATCTTGGCTAATGTAATTATGATGTGCCTTGGTGTGTTCCTCCTTGGGCCCAACTTCTGTGGGACTCTCTGAGCTTCCTTGACTTCCTGGAAGTCTATTTTCTTTGCCAGATTGGTGAAGTTCTCCTTCATTATTTTTTTCAAATAAGTTTTCAGTTTTTTGCTCTTCCTTTTCTCCTGGTACCCCTATGGTTCAGATGTTGAAACATTTAAAGATGTCCTAGAGGTTCCTAGGCCTCTCCTCATTTTTCTGAATTCTTGTTTCTTCATTCTGTTCTGGTTGAATGTCTCTTTCTTCCTTCTGCTCCAAACTGTTGATCTGAGTCCTGGTTTCCTTCCCGTCACTGTTGGTTCCCTGTAGATTTTTCTTTATTTCACGTAATGTGACCTTCGTTGCTGCCTGGGTCTTTTTTATGCTGTTAAATGAAGTATCCAGTGAGTTCCTGGAGCATCCTGATCACAGTGTTTCGAACTGCGCACCTGATAGGTTGGTTATCTCTGCCCCTTTGTTGTATTTTTTCTGGAGCTTTGAACTGTTCTTTCATTTGGGTCATATTTTTTGTCTCGGCATGCCTATTATGTATAATGGGCAGAGCCTTAGGTGGTCACCTAAGGGTGGGACAACCCACGTGACTGCCTTGTGACGCTATATGTGGGGGAGAGTCCAAGAGGGGACAGTGCCATTTGCTCTGCTCTCTGCCAGCTTTCAGTCACTACCCCTGCTACTCACAAGCAAATTGGGTTCTTCTGGTGCTGATTTCTGTGTGGGTGGGTTTGTGTATGCTCTGGGACCCTGTGGGTCTCTCCAATAAACTCTTCTGTGAGGCTGGGAGTTTCTCTAACTGCTGCCTCAACCCCCACAGGCGTTTTCTTTCTTTTTTTTTTAAGATTAATTTTTTTATTTATCTTTAGAGGGGAAAGGAAGGAGAGAGGGAGAGAAGTACCAATGTATGGTTGCCTCTTGTGTGTCCCCCGCTGGGAACTGGCCTGCAAACCAGGCATGTGCCCTGACTGGGAATCAAATCTTGACCTTCTGGTTCGCAGGCCTGCGCTCAATCCACTGAGCTACACCAGCCAGGGCTCAATCCCCACAGGTGTTTTCGATCAGAGTTTTTGAGGCTTTATTTCCCGGAGCTGGAACCCTGGGTTGTATGGTCTATCTCGCTCCCCAGTTGTTCCTCCCGGTTTATCCACACACAAATGTGGGACCACCTGGTCCTCCAGCCACTGCCTTGCCAAGAGTCCTCTCTGCCCAGCTGCCCACTTCAGCCCCTCCTACCAGTCTGGGTGAGTGTTTCTTCTTTAACTCCTTGGTTGTCAGACTTCCATACAGTTCGATTTTCTGTCAGTTCTGGTTGTTTTTTCTTTTAAAATTTGTCGTTGTTCTTCTTTTGGTTGTGCGAGGAGGCTATGCCTCCATCTTGGCTGGAAGTCCCTAAATTCTTTTTCTTGAACGGCCCTGGGTCCCTGTGGCCTCCTTGTTATACACATTCTAGAAGGGACAATGGAAGGTGAGTGAGGGAGTGTGGGCTCTGAGGTCAAACAGACCCAAGTCCAAGCCCTGGCTTTGTCCTGTCCTGGCTGTGTGACCTTGGTGTCTTCATCTGGTACCTGGTGCCCTGGGCCCTGTCTGAGGGGTGGGGAGAGCCGGGTCCTCTGACTTCAGGTGAGGTGGTCTTCCACAGACAGCGGCGATGATGAAGGTGACATGCTGATAGAGTGAGGGAAGGTCCCAGGCATAGATGAAGTTCAGGGACAGAGCAGAGAACAGAACAAGTATACCCTAGTGCAGGGGTGGGAAGGCATGACAGTGTCCAAAGAATTACATGCTTAACACGTCGGTGACAGTAAGTTCCAAATCCAAAGGGTAGATGGAGAATAGGTGAGCTGGTAAGAGAACAAATGACTAAGAGTGGGGTTCGGTGAAGGACTAGGAAAAAATGGTACGAAAGCCAAGGTCTGGTTGATCCCTCCTGTGGGGTCCGGTGACGACGCCTGAACTTTCCTCGCAGGTCACTCACAAGGCTGTGATGGCTCTGAATGAGGAGGGCGCCGAGGCCGCTGCCGCCACCAGCATCCAGCTCACTCCAGGGCCCCACCCCGACCTTGACCCCACACCCTCCCCAGACACCGAGTTCAGTCGGCCCTTCCTGATGATGACCTTCCACACGGAAACAGGAAGCTTGCTCTTCCTGGGCAAGATTGTAAACCCGTCGGGGTGAAGTGTGGAATGTGCCCGGATACAGGGTGGGGGGCAGCGTTAGCATCCAAGTTTCCGTGGGGCCCTGGGGGCCTCGGCGGGCTGTTCGGGGCTCCTTCTCCGTCTGGAAGTGCAATGGGAAATATTCCAAAGTGGCGAAGGTGGTGGGTACCCCTGCAGAGGCTTCCTGCAGCTGTGCAAGTCCCCCAGCCTGCTCGCCGGAGCCTCTGCTACAGCCCCTTGTTTAATGAGAAGCTCGTACACCCTGGCTCTGTCCTGTGGTTTTCATGGGGGGCCTGCAGGGTGAGGGCAGTAAGGGGGGCCGAGGCGGTGCCGCCGAGCGGACATCTGCTGTGCATCGGGTGCGTTGTACAGTGTATCTCAGGTTGAAATTAATTTCCACAACAACCTAACAAGATAAGCACCAGGTTGAACCATGTGAGACTGATTATATTTGACCTTTTTTTCCCTTAACCTCACAAAAGGGCAACCGCATGTGGTTCTACCTGATATTAGTTCTCCCTTCTTCTAGCGGAGGCTCAGAACTCAAGGCACACGCTGAAGGTCACGCAGCCAGTTCGTGGCCCAGCTGGGATGCAGGGGCTGTTTATTTCAAAGCCTGGACTCTGCATTTTCGTCTGTTTTGCTAAATCAGTTGCTTGCTTGTTTGCGTGCACAAATCCCCTGGCATCTCGGGGAAAACAGACTTTGATTCAGCAGGTCTGGGCTGGAGTCTGACGTCCAGTGCCCCCCACAAGGTCCCGGGATGCTGAGGCTGCTGACCACACGATGACCACAGAGGAACAGCGGGTGCTAAATGCTCTGTCTCTGTGACCCAAGGAGGGGTTAAGTCAATGTGGTCAGCAGGGCTGAGGAGTGGCCCTGGCCCCTCGATGCATCCATGGGGCTAAGCACCGATTTGGCAACACCCTTTGAGGCCTGCTGACAAAGCTAGCTTTAGGGTCACCGGTTAGTGAGCATTTTGGGGGGCAACAAGTGCCCAAACCAAGGCTTTTTTGCCCGTTCTAGGCATACTGTGGGGGCTATGCTCCACGTCGGTCATTGCAGCCAAGACCTAGGCTGTCAGTTGGCTCCTGTCCCTGTGTCTCCAACTGCACAGAAGGAGTGACATAGGTTTGGGGGCCAGACCCACCCAAGACCAAATCCTGCCCCCAGCTCTCGAGATGCCACCGGGAACGGTGACGGGGACTGCAGGCACGCACAAAGAGCCCCCTGATGCCACTCAAGGGGCCATGGTGTGCCATCTCATTATACTTCATTCCACATTTACTGCCAGAAATAAAACTTCCTGACTTTATTCTCTTCTGAAGTGGGAAGGTGCCCGACAAAGCACCAATGAGTCAGTAAAGTCGGCCTCTCCAGAAAGGGGGGCCCCAGAGCCACTGAGAGTATCCCCAACAAAGATGGTGAGCAGCCGCAAAGCACTGGAAACTGAGTGTCTTCTTACATTTTGTTTTTTGAGGGTTGACAGTGGGGGGCCCCCAAATTTGAAAGAATGTGTACGAGGTCAGGTAGGAAGTAGGCAGGGATTGGGGGAAAAAATAACAGCACAAATTTAGTAGCTGACCGTGGAGTTGGGGAAACATACGGGATGGTAGGGACTGTGTTAAACTGAAAAGTGGGCTTCACCTAAAGGGGGGACCCAGTGGTGGCCTGCCTGTGGCAGTGGCTTAGGAGAGAGAAGTTTAAGATTTGCCCTCATATAAAAGTGTCAGTGTCTGTGGTAGCTCTAGTTCACCCAGTCATCGGGGAACCTGGCTTCTTCTAAATTGCGGGCCTGCCGTTCCTGGGGTGTTGTCTTCTTCCAGGTGTTTGAAGATCACTGACCTGTGTCTCCACCTTCCAGCCAGCAGGAAGGGGACAAGGGGAAAATGAGGGCAAACTCGCTCCCTTTAAAGCTATGACCCATGAATTATACGCATCTCTTCAGCTCTCCTCCTTGGCCAGTATCTAGTCACATGGCACACATAGCTGCAAGAGAAGCAGAGAAATGTCATTTCTATCTAGGATGGCCAAGCGCCCAACCCAAATTGGGAGTTCTCTTAGTTTAGAAGAAGGGGTGATTGGTAATTCGGGACCCTCCCACGCAGCCTCCTGCCAGCCTCAGACCTTGCAGAAAGGTGTCCAAGGGTTGCTGGCTTTTTAAGTTTTTTGAGAAAGACTAAAATCCAGGCTTTTATGTAGAAAATGTTTCTGTTTTTGAATGTGGACAACACATTCAATTAAAAAGAAAGAAAACAAGCACGCAGCCAACAATAAGTGAGGTCAGTGAAGCAAGCGGTGGGTCCAGAAGGCAGCTGGTCAGGGGGGAGGGCAGTCTGCAGGGTCCCCAAGGCTGGCCCTGGGCCAAGGTGCCCTGGGTTAACCGAGGAGCCCTGGGGTGTGACCTGGACTGACATCCCAGGCAAATGTTAAGTCAGGACCCAGAGATGGCTGACCATGGTTTACAAAAAACGTGCAAGAGTCATCCTTTAGACGATTTCTGGCAGTAGAGCCAATTTATAAGAAGGTAATTAGTGGGACAACGTCAGTGACTTTGCGGACATGGAGACAAAGGCAATAAATGTACGAAAAGTGTATAAGATGTGCAACACGTCCGCATCTTTATTTTGTTTCTCATCCCAATGTGCTTGGTCCTAGGCATGTGCAAGAGTAACTAAACTCGGTCATCTTTGGTGTTTTGCTGATTTCCAGTCACATAAAACTATAGCTATATACAGAGTCTTCAGTTCTTTTGTTTTGAAGGTCTTGTCTTTCAAGGGATGAGTTTAAAAAACTTTCTTATCTTTACTCAAGGACATTTTTTCATTGTATTTAGAGACAGAGGAAGGGAGAGAAAGATGGGAGAAACACTGATGTGAGAAAAAACATTGATTGGTTGCCTCCCATACACACCTTGACCGGGAATCGAACCCACAACCTTTCTGTGTATGGGATAACACTCCAACCAAGCCAGCCACACCAGCCAGGGCTCAAGGGATGGAGTTTATCCAGCAGTTGGTTTTAACCTGAATGACAGCTTGTCAGTTTCTGGGTGCATATGGAAAGTGGTCCCCTCTTGTACTTCGTTCCTGGAGGGCCTGGCTAGGAGGCAAGCCATCTGTCCTGGGCAGGGCCTCCCATCTGTCCCTTCTGGCCACTCCCACCTATCCCTGAGTGGCCCTTCTCAAGGCCCAGGCAACCCCGTGCCTCTGTGAGGGAGTCACAGGTTGGGGTCCTGCTCAAGGCACCCCACCTCCTCCCTCCTGGGTTTAAGGGACTCATTCCTGCTGGTCCCTCTGATCTGGCCATTCGTCAGTCTCCATTAACAATGATCAGGTCCAAGTCCTCAGGTGCCCACAATCCCACAGCTGGTAGGGGCCCCTGGCTGTCTGGTAATGTGGCTCTCTGTCCTATGACCCAAAATCCCTGTGACGATGAAGCTCAAAGGCTTTTCTGCCTTCTGGGACAAGCAAGCCCCCCAGAAGCGCAGGAGACATTGGGTTAGGTCGCCCTGCCCCACACGGGGAGCCCGACTCAGTCCCTGCCTTGGGGGTGCTCATGTGGGGCTGTGCCCACCGGGGCCGAATGTCAGACAACCCCGGCTATGGTGGAGGGCCAGTTGAGAGCTGACGAGGAGGAGAGAAGGCAGGGGGCCCTGCGGGGAGCCTCAGGTCCAAGGTGGCAGCATGATACCGGCCACTAGCTGTGTGACCGTGGGCAAACATATTTGCGAAATGGAGCCTGTAATGATGCTGACCCCCCTACCAAGGGCCATCTCAGAACCTAACATACTCTCCAATCCTCACTACGACCCTCTGAGGGACAGGCTCCTTGTGCCTGGACCGCAAAACAAACTCAGGGACAGAGGCTTAAGTAACTTCCTCCCCCGAGTCCCCCAAAGGAGGCCATGTCTGCCTGGAAGCCCCCAGTGTGTGACCCCCAACCTGAGCCTCCCTCCTGGGCATCTTGGGTCTAGTGTCCATCTCTCGTGCCTACAGACCAGAGAACCACATCTAAGACACCTTTCAGAGGCCGGAGGCAGTGCCCGGGCCAGGATGGGCAATTAAGGGATGCTCGCTGGCTGGACCTGTGCAGACCTGGGCTGTCCCCACATGAGAGCAGAGGACAGAGAAATGGAGGTCAAGGAGAGAGAAAGAGGTGTGAACACAGCCCACCCTCGGCCTTACACACACACACACACACACACACACACACACACACACACACGTGCAGCAAGCTAGGGTAAGAGGGAAGGCAGCCCCCAGTGGGGGACAACCACGGAGAAAGGCAGCAGGGAGACAGGAGAGAAAATTGCCCCGATTCCCAGAGCAGAGCAAGAAATTGTTTCCAGAGGCAACAATTTCTTGCTCTGTTTGGAGCTGGCCCCTGGCCTCTACAGCCCCATCACTTAGCAGGTCTAGAGGTCCCCTTGCAGCTGCCAGGACAATGAGGAGGTGGGGGCCGGGCAGGGGTGGACGGGCCTGCTGGAGAAAATCTCCCCAAACCAGGCTTGGCATCTGGGCCTCTGATTGCCCTGAGCCCAGGGGAGGGGTGGCAGAGAAAAGTGGTCCAATATGGTTGGTCCTCACGCACACCCCCGATGCCCATCTGCTCGTCAGGAGAGGCCAGGCGGGTAACTCGAGAGTCCCAAAGGTCTGGCCCTTAAAACCAGGCCATCCTTCGGCAGGGGGCTCCATCTGCTGGGTCTGGGGTTGGCAAATCTCAAACACAAAAAGCTCCCGGGAAGCTCTAGAGGAAATGCAGCATGAAGTGAGGGGACCCAGCGGAATCCCTCCCTTTTGTTTTCTTTTGTCCTAGGAAAAATGTTCAACAGGAGCTCTATCCTTTTAATACACCTTTAAGTGCACGATTCTGTATTATCATCTATGGAAATAGTACTGGGCAGTAGGCTCCGAGAACTTCATTTTGTATAACTACAACTTTACGTCCATCGAATAACAATTCCCTGCCCTCCCTTCCCCCAGCCCCTGGCATCACCATCCAATTCTTTGCTCTCATGAGTCTGGCCACTTCAGACACATCACAGAAGTTGGCCACACGGTCCTTGTCCTTCCATGTCTGGCTCACTCAGCATCATGTCTTCCAAGTTCAACCACGTATCACAGATTCTGAGTTTTCTTCTTTTTTGAGGCTGAATAATATTCCACTGTATGTAGAAGGTGAAAAGAAAACTTACAGAATAGATGCCGTTTATTTCCAGACCATGTAGCTGATAAGCTGTTACTACCCAAAATATAGACGGAA